TATGAGATGAGTTGGCTTTTTTGTTGTAGGACCTACAAATGTTAGAATGCAAAGACCTTTGTTGTAGGGCCATTTTATTTCTCCAGAAAAGAACCCAAATATCCTCTTTCTGTGGGATAGGGCCTTAGCTGCCTGAAATTCTAGGGGCAGGAAGAAAAAAGGATGAAATTTTGACTTTTAATTAATGTCTATTTTCATCTCCACATTTCTTTCCTACCTTCCATAATTAAAACAGGTATTTGTGAGGCCGAACTGTTTCCCAGGTCTACTGGCTGTATGTGTGTCCACATGAACCTCAGTATTTTATGCAGCAGGTACTTCTGTCCTATTTCTTCTGCTCTCTTCACCTCCTTTCAGTCTCACCTTGATCCCATCACTATCTAGTTGCAGTTCATTAATATTATGCCCAATGAGGGCTCATATTTTGTTTCCATAATATTTATGAGCTTATTTCCCTTTTATTCTTTCTTTGTCAATTAAGTGGTGTTCCAAGAGGGAGGGGAGATATATTTACATGGCCATCCTCCACATAGAACGGGACATTTCCTTTTCCCCTTTAATCCTTTGTATATTGGTCTAATCGTAAGAATTCTATTTAAACTGCTCTCTTGAGAAAATAATGCAAACAATGTATTTTTTTATTCCCTCCTTCCCCATAAATCATGTTTACCTTGGACCCTAAGGCTAAAAGCTTATTGTTACCAAAGAAAAGGGTCAGTAGGGCCATCAAGAAAGCAATCCAGAAGATAGGGAAGAGATGATGCAGAGTAAGCTCCCAAATGTCATGACCTGGATATAGAGCACTTGGTAGACTGAACAGAGAGAGTAGGTCCCCGTTTCCATTTAGGACTCTTGAAAAATCATCTTTGCAGGGAACCTCTGCATCAGCTTGGAATGGCCACAGCAAAAGAGAAATAGCAGCGTGACCGACTTAGACATGGAGTAGACATGGTGTTTCTGAGGGTCCCTTGGCTCCCATGAGGTGTAGAAAAGGATGCAGATGTTTTCACATGAGATATATATTGGTAAATACCTTATAATATGAGTCCTCAGTAAATTTTTACTGAATTCTAAAACCAAAATCTTAGCATCAGCCAAGTAAAAATTGGTAATTGCAAAGAATAGTTAAACATAAAGTTGAAAGTGGCTGAAGGTAAGACCCAGTTTTAGAAGTAACATAAAAGTTTTTAGGGCTAGAGAGGCAGATACAGAAAGGCTTGTAAGGACAGCCAACAGAAGTCAAAGGGTAGCATTGCCAAGAAAGAATAAAAGACTAATTTTGGCTAGCTGTCAAGGTTTCAGAGGACTTCCAAATCCAGGTAATAACATATAAGAACAAGTGCTAAGCTTAAGGACACCAAATTTCCCAGCTTGACTCTTTTTGATTAGATTTGTGATACTAATTCTCTACATTACTTGGTGGTGGTGGTGGTGCAGTGGGAACAACTTAGTTGTTCCATTTGGTTCTTTCTGGGACAACCCTTTATTAGATAATTCATGCTTTTAAATTTTATGTGATTCTAGCAAGAGTAAGTAAAATTAGCATAAGAACCTAGCCTCTCTTTGAAAGCAGTGGTCAGGCATAAAAATTTATTTTATGGTAATGATGATTTTATATAATACTAATATGCTAACACTTCCTTTAGGGGTTTTTAAATAAAAATATAGCAATAAAGATCAATATTTTTAAAGAAGGGAAATCATCTACATACCTATTGTCCTACTTGGTGTATTTCCTTCTGCCTATGTGGCACAAAACTGTAGGGCTAAAAGAAGGCGTAAATTTAATTACTCCGATTTCTTCATATTCAGATGAGAAAACTAAAATCTAGAGAGCTGTGAGGTTAGATCAGAATAATACCTTATTACTTCCTTTAAAACATTTTTAATGTTTTTTATTGTTATTTTTCAAGTACAGTTTTTTGTCTATTTCTCCCATCCCAGCCCCCCCCCATTGCTCCCCACCTCCCTCCCATTTCCTCCCCCACTAGTCCTCATCCCTGTGTCTTTCATACTTGTTCCTCAAAATCCCTCCCCTTCCCCCCCCCCCCCCCGTTAAATTCCCTTCCCTCTCCCCTCTGGTCACTGCCACCTTGTTCTCTATTTCAGTGTCTTTGTTTTTATTCTGCTTGCGTGTTTGTTTTGTTGTTTAGCTTCCTGTTAAAGGTGAGATCATATGGTATTTGTTTTTCAAAAAACATTTTTAATGTTAAAAATTTTTTTAAATGATTGTTGATAAAACACGAGTAACTCCCTAATCAATGATTTTCTCCACTGAAAACACAATTACAAGGGAAAAATATCTTTATTATGTAAAATGGTAATAGCCTTATTGAGAGCAATGTCTGAAGAATTATAGCTGCGAAATCTGGATTCCTAAAAAACTCCCAGAAGTCCAGGAATTTCTAGAAAACAGATGTAAATGCAAAGCATCTATAGGTAAGGATTTGGATTTGAAGTTCACATGTTACTATGTATTGCTACTGCTGATGCTGCCTGCACATTGTTGATTCTGGAATGTACCCTTCTTGATAAAAAGGCAAATTACAGCTCTTAAAAAGAGTACCTAATTGAGGCTTTCTCTCTGCTGCAATTCAAATAAGTGAAATAGCATTGAAAAGGGGAGTATTTTGTAAGGAACGTGGATGGTTTTCAAAACGACTGTGCTAGAAGCACTCTGGACTCATGTTAGAAGGATCCTTAATGAGCCATAGCAGAAAAAGGCTCAAAAGGAGAATAGAACACTCCAGTTCTGAGACTAGTCTCCCACTAACAAGAAATGTAATCTGAGGCAAACATTTGATTTTTCTAGTTTTGTTTTCACACCAGTAAAATGAGGTTATTATAGCTGATCTCAGAATTCTTTTGCCATTGTAAAATTCTATGATTCTGTGAAATGTATCCTGTATTTCAGCCTGTGGGGAAATCCCAGGTGTGAAGAGCTGGTTTTATTAACAATGTCCTAAAATCCTTTATTCTCTTATCCTTCTGAGGTTAGTAGCCCTGGGCAGAAACCTGGCACTTCATTGGCACCCCCTTGCCTCCTTCATCTCCTACCTCATACCCTACCTATAACAACACCTCATTGTCTCTTCATTTATATTTCATTACTTTTTCTTTTCTATCCGCACTACCAATAGTTTGGTACTGGTCCTCATACCTGACCCACAGGAACAAGTACCTACTTTGCTAATGTTCCTTTCAGAGTACAATCTGCTATTCCATGGAGTGCCATTCTGTTCTACTGTTAAGACTGATATCCCGATGGATGTAATCCTTGCATTCTTTCTCTCTCTATATATATATATATTCAATCTGTCAGCAAATCCTGTTGGCTGTCTTTAAAAGATGTCCAAAATCTGACCACTTATCATCATCTCCACTGCTGTTACCCTGGTCCAGGCCAGCAATAGTTTCGAACTGGTCTTCCTCAGTTTTACCCTTGTTCCCATTCAGCCTGTTATCAACACAGCATTCAAAGCGATCCTATCAAAACATTAAGTCACATCATACTTAAAGTGAAATTCCTCACAGTGGTCTCCTAGGCCCTAGGTGCCCTAGTCATTGTTACCTAACTTTATGTCCCATTACTGTCCTCTGCTCCAGCTACACAGACCTTCTTTCCTTCCAGGCTCCCAGGAACATGGCAACTTGTGGTGACTCTGCAGTTGCTTTCTGCCTGGAATACCAGATACCAATCTCCTCACTTTGTCACTTAACTGCACTGTCTCCTTCTCTCGTTATTCTATCACACTGTCTAAAATCCAAAGTCCTCTTTCTCTTTTTCACCTCAAGCACTTATTACTGTGCAACATAGTATTTAAAAATTTTTTTCCTTCTTTATTGTCTCTCTTCCTCACAAGAGTAAGGAATCTTGTCTGTTTTATTGCTATACCCCAAGCACCTAGAGCAGTGCCTAGCATAGTGGGTGCTCCATAAATTTTTGTTGCTTCTGGAATGAACTGAGAGTTCAGTACCAAGGGAGTGTAACAGATTGCAAAGAAGAAGACACACTAGATAAAAATGTTTGTTCATTGCAAAACAAGACTTGACCATCATCCTAATTGTGTATAGTAAAAAAAAAATCACTATTATTTTATGTCTCCTCTAAGATGTTCTTTTTTATTTTAATTAATTTATTATTTTTTTAATTTTAAAATTTATTTTTAGAGAGGGGAAGGGAGGGAGAGGGAAACATCAATGTGTGGTTGCCTCTTGAGCACCCCCTACTGGGGACCTGGCCTGCAACCTAGGCTTGTGGAGTTGAACCAGCAACTCCTTGGTTCACAAACTGGCGCTCTATCCACTGAACCATACCAGGCAGGGGGCTTGTAAGATGTTCTTGATCTCAGAGCAGACGTTCTCCATTATCAGACTTGATTTGGTCAGTGGAAGCTGGATCCCATCATATCTTCCAAATGTTACCCAAATTTGACATCTCTGCTAAGTTATAAAGAAGAAAATAAGGTCCGCTATGGATTTAAAGTGCCAGAACTTGATCTTTAATGCTCAAAATCGTAAGATTGTAAGGTTTCACTCCAAAAGGAAGTATATGGCTATTAAGTATAATGATAATGATTAAGTAAAATTTGCTAGCATGAAATTGATCTTAGTAAGATGTAGTAGGAACTCCATTTTTCTCGTCGGTTTTTCCTTTATCAGCAAGATGCACTCCCTGGTACACAGGAGTTTATAGATATATATTGAATTTGTATTGAACAGGTCAGTGTTTTCAACAGAAAGAAACATCTAGATTTGTTTGGTGCAGCACTGCAGGGGGCTGTGGTCCTTCAACGGTATTCGCATTGTGTTATGAGCAATCTGTATTTATTTACCAGCCCCATGAAATTCCAAGAGGGCGTGTGTCCTCAAGGATGATGTCGGGAACGCGTCTCTGGGGGCGTCACCGACTCCCTCGAGGACTGAGGGAAAAAAAATCTGTGGGAATAGGGGGCTCCACTGCTTCATCTCGCGACCTCCCGCGCTCAGTGTGGCCGACTTCGTTCCAGTCCTTTCTGGTCCTCGGGACCACCTTGTCGCTGAGGAGACGTAAAGACGGCCGCTGCTCCTGGAGGCCCGCCGAGGGGCCAACCCGTTAGCAGAGAGCCGCAGGACAGCCCTCCATCACAGCCGCGTCCCCGCTTGGGTGGAGGAGGGGCGACACGCCAATTGCGCAGCGTCGAGTTTCCCAGAATTCCCAGCGGCCGCGGGGAAAGTTTACGGGACGCAGGCGGCGGCGGTAGCTGTAGCGGTCATTCGGCGGCCCGCGGCGGATCATGGCCCTGGCCGGTTGTCCCTGGCCTCCCCTCACGGAGTCCTCGGGCTGCGTCACTGAGCGGGCAGACTTCCGGGAAGGAACTGACAAGCGACTGAGCGGCGGCAGGCGCGCTTAGCGCCCCGAACATGCGGCAGTCCCTGCGGGCGACCCCGGGCTGCGGAGAGGCGGCGGCGGCGGCGGCGGCTCGGGAGCGAAGGAGGCGGCGGCGCCGGCGGAGGTGGCGGCGAGGACGCCCGGCGCCCGGCTCGGAGCCCTAGGGAGGCGCGGTCTGGGGCCTTGTCGACCAGGATGCTGTCCCGAAAGAAAACGAAGAACGAAGTGTCCAAGCCTGCCGAGGTGCAGGGGAAGTACGTGAAGAAGGAGACGTCCCCTCTGCTGCGGAGTGAGTGTCGGGCGGGCGCAGTCCTCCTACCTGTCCCGGGCGGCCACGGTCACCCGCTCCTTTTCATTCCTACTGATCTCTGTGAAATTCTGTTTTGTTGTGTGTGTGTTTTAATTTACTGTTTTGTTTAAATCTCATTATGCCTGAAGTCATGCTTGTAATTTGAAACGAACAAAGACTGAGAAACTTGAATTAGTTCCCCCCTTCCCTGAACCCCCCACTAAAAATAACAAACTTCCCTGTCCCCTTAAGGCAGAATGTTAACTGGTTTTACTGGAAGAAGGAGGTTCTTTAGGAAAAATGTAAATTACTGGGTGAAAATGATTAGACGGGGGCACATTTTTCCTCTTCTAGATAAGCCCAGATATGCCTTGTGTTTGCAAATATTGCGGGTGTCACCCGCTCACGCGGGAAGTTGTGCGAACTCTTGGCTCCAATTCCTTAGCTCTGCTGCGGGATGCGAACGCGAGGAGGTGAAAGCTGACCGTCGCTGTTGTAGCCGCTACCCAAAGCATCATCAATCTTAGATTTCAGGATAGAGGAACCAAATCCCGTATATTTGGCTACATTCATGTGAAGTTCTTAAAATAAAAATCACCAAGGACTCCCCAAAGATAAAGTACTCGGAATGGTTTCTGTCGTATTTTAGGGAAAATTACCAAAAGTTTTTTTTTTCTAACTTTAATAGGATATATTTCTGTCGCCCCACTCTCTGCACCTTTTTTCTCTTCAGTTTAAGTAACACTGGTTTTCCAGCTGAATCTTTTAAATTTTTGACTGTTGCTGTCTTTAAAATTTTTTAAACTTGCGTGTGTTCAGAACATTTGAGAGTTAAAGAGCTAATATTTTGGTGCTCATACTGAGTGCTGGCCCTTTGTGTAAGTTTCCTTCTTGGAAGCTTGTAGTAACCATTACCTCATAATTTAATTGGAAAAGCTGTTCATAGAGATTCCTAGTGTTTGCCCACGATCACACAGAAAAGGGGTGGAGAACATGTTTTTCCATTATAAGCACATCAACGTTCCAGATTTAACCTTGTGTTTGCTATACTTTCTTATAGCACAACAAAGTAGATTAAACAGGTATACCAGTAACCAAAAACTTGATTTTTAAACTTTTTTTTTAAGAAGACCATATTTAAAAAATTTATTTATCTTTAGAAGGGAAGGGAAGGAGAGAAATTATCAGTGTATGGTTGCTTCCGGTGCATTCCCTGCTGGGAACTGGCCCCTGCTGGGGGAACTGGCTTGCAGCCCAGGCATGTGCCCTGACAGGGAATTGAACCGTGATCTTTTGGTTCACAGTCCCGTGCTCAATCCACTGAGCTACACCAGCCAGGGCAATTTTTAAAATTTTTTAATGGTACATCTTTAAATTACGTGTTCTCTTACATTTTTGGCAAAGTTTACTATAGATAGCTTACAGTTTGCTGCAAATAAAGTTTATTAAACATTGCTTGAAATCATGAAATATTTTTGGCATACCTTTAAACAAATAACTTGATATAGTATTTCTTTTTAGCTTTAGTTTCATCAGGTGTTTAGTCTTGTTTATTTGAATATTAATTTCTGTTTAGAGTTTGCTTCTGAAGCCTATCAACCAGTGCTCTCTAATATTGTTTACTTAATCATCTAATAAAACAATCTCCAAATCCAATTTTCTTGATGTTTTAAGGGGTTTTTTTTCTTTTTCTTTTTTTTTTTTTGTGGATGAGAAAGGAAAACATGGATTTTTGTTGTTGCACTTTATGCATTCAAGGGTTGATTCTTGTATGTGCCCTGACCAGGGATCCATCCGACCTGAAACCATGGCATATCTGGAGGACACTCCAATCAATGGAGCTACCCTGCCAGGGCTAAGGTTATTTTGCTTTCTAATCAGGAATGTCCAAGCTATTTAAGTTATGTGTTCTGAAATACTATATCTTGAAAGCTATTGTGTTATTATTCTATTTTGATCTATAATTACTTGCTTTAAAGGAGCCGTAGTTTCAGGCTTTACATTTCTTGAACTAGTTCAGCCTTATGTACTTTTATGAAATGAAATCTTTATTTTTTAATTTTTATAGCTAAATTTTTGTCTTTCTCTTTTGATTACTAGTATTAAATAGTTTCAGGAAGGAAGACCAGGTTAATAATTTTAAAATCTTTTTAAAGGAGTGCACCTTTATATGTATGGAAATAACATTGTGTTCTACTTTATTTTTGAAATTGTGTTTGCTTGAAGAAGGACTTTGTGGAATTTTGAATGTGAGGTGAAATCAACAAAACATGCTATAATTTTAAGTTATGTTGGTAACTGTTAGATTGTTTTCTGTTTTTACACATGTATTCATGAACATTTCATTATTATGTATTTGATAACTAAGTATATTGATATTTTATCATAAAGTATATGGAAGTATGCAGAATATAGTTGATTTTATACATTTATGCAACTTATAAATTTATCCAAGTGGAAGAATATTAATCAGCCTCAATTTTAAAATACCCAAGTACTATTTTCTTTTTTGTTTTTCTCATTTAACAATTAATTAATTTTTTTCTAACTTTTTTTTATTATTGTTCAAGAACAGTTGTCTCCACTACCTCCACCAAATCCCCTCCACTCCAGCCATCCCACTTCCCACCTTTGATCCTCCCTACCTTTGGTTTTTTCCATGTGTCCTTCATAGATGTTCCTGAAAATCCTTCCCCTTTAAGTACTATTTTAAATAAAAAAATTTTAATTGTGTTTTCTTTACTCCATTGAAATTTTGCAGTGATAGATGTAAATGAACAACTTTTAAAAAGTAGAATGATTGAAGTGGTCATTTTATTATTTGTTTTATTATAGATCTCATGCCTTCATTCATCCGGCACGGTCCAACAATTCCAAGACGAACTGATATCTGTCTTCCAGATTCAAACCCTAATGCCTTTTCAGCTTCTGGAGATGGAATAGTTTCAAGAAACCAGAGTTTCCTTAGAACTCCAGTTCAAAGAACACCTCATGAAATAATGAGAAGAGAAAGCAACAGATTATCAGCACCTTCTTATCTTGCCAGGAGTCTAGCAGATGTCCCTAGGGAATATGGCTCATCTCAGTCATTTTTAACAGAAGTTAATTTTGCTGTTGAAAATGGAGACTCTGGTTCCCGATATTATTATTCAGATAATTATTTTGATGGTCAGCGAAGGCGCCCACTTAGAGATCGTACACATGAAGATTACAGATATTATGAATACAACCAAGATCTCTTCCAAAGAATGCCACAGAATCAGGGGAGGCATGCTTCAGGTAACTTAGAATTAGACCTACTACATTAGGTTTATTAAAACTTAATTTAAAAGATGCTCTTCTCTGAATTTTCTTGGGAAGCCAACAGATATTCCTAGAGAAATATTTATTTTGCTAGTCTTGTTAAGCCAGCTTGCAAGTAATTATTAACCTACACAGAGGGAAATAATTTTATGTTCATTTATTTTATTAACTCATTTTATAAAAACTTGGTACTTATTTGAAGGCTATCTTGACTCTTAACAGTATGAACCTTGAAAACCTAGTTAACTCAAAGTCTACAGTTAGATTGAATCTAGATTTAGTTGGTAGAATGGGAAGATTAGGGTTTCAAAGAAACTGCACTTAAACCAAGGAAAGACAAGGCAGATAAGAAGAGTTGGGCACAGTAGGTGATTCCATGGGCAAATGCATCATTACTTAGCTAGAACCTGCACTATTTCTCGTAACAAAACTGTTTTTGTAGTTTCAATAATTACTTCCCAAGTTGGCCAAACAGACTTGTAAAATAGTTAATTGTGTGTTAAGCATGTCTTTTTGTTGTTGTTTTCTGAAATGGATGAAATTATTAGTGATAAATTTTTGAAATCTTTCTATATTTGCTGACTTGAATATGCTTACACTAGCAGAAGAGATAGGATAAATGCACAGTTCATTTTAGTCCTAGAGTACTGGAAAACACCATGGCATTTTGTGTGTGTGTTGTTATAATTAAAATCTGTATAGTTTAATGTCTGTTTCTTTCTTCAATGGGTTTCTTAATGTAATACACTATTTATGAGTAGTTTCAGTGACTCTGTAAACTTCTATTTGGTGGCTAATATTTTAAATGTTAATGAAGACCTGACCTAGGCTGGGAACATTTGGAAAGGGGGGAAGTAGGACACATCTGCTTTGATGGAACTTGGTACTAATGGGGATATAAGGTTGAGGGAAAGAGAATAGTCATATATGATTAATGTAGCACCTGGCTGTGTGTAGGAGGAGCTCCAAAAATAAATGGTTGAGTAAGTGAGTGAATCCAGAGATTTCAAGTCTGGAATCTTAAGACAGTTTTGGTAGCTAATGGGTAGCAGGAATTGTAATTTATAACAGTCTGTATTATTAATATAAATTATTGTTCTTTGCACTCACCTTACCCATGTGTATTTATATTGCAAACATCACTGATAACTCATAACACTTTTCTGCCTGAATGTAAGTATGAAGAATTAGTAATACTAAGTTAAAATCTTGTTTTAAAATTATTATTTGCCAAATATCATTGAGAAAATACTTTAAGAAATAAATTTTTGCCCTGGCAGGGTGGCTCAGTTTGTTGGAGTGTTCTCTCATGCACCAAAAGGTAATGGATTTGATTCCTGGTCAGGGCATATACCTAGGTGGTGGGTTCAGTCCCTGGCAGGTCTCAGGGCACCTATCTAGGTTGTGGGTTAGATCTCTGATCAGGTGCATGTACAGGAGGCAACAACACATCAATGTTTCTGTCACATGTTTCCCTCCCTCCCTACCTCTCTCTTTCCTTTTCTCCCCTCCCCCTTCTCTCTAAAATCAATAAACATATCCTTGAGTGAGGATTAAAAAAGAAAAATATTTCTACTGATCCTCTCTTAGGAGCAGTCTGACAGTTTTTCTAAGTCTAATGATAAACCTGAAAACAATTTTTTATTCGGAATTTAGAAATAAAATGTAAGTTAATTAGATACTTTATAAAATTAACAAATGTCATTTTTTAAAAAATCCTTACTGGAGGATATATTGATTTTAGAGAGAGAAACATAGATGTGAAAGAAACATGGATTGGTTGCCTCCCACATATGCCTGACATGGGGTAGAACCTCCAACAGAGGTATGTGACATGACCAGGAATCAAAACCTTTTGGGGTACAGGTCAATGCTCCAACCAACTGAGCCACCCTGTCAGGACAACAGTGTCTTTTTTTTTTTTAATTGCATTCATTGCAGAAGTTATATATGTGCTTGAAAAATTCATATGAGGGCAATATGATTAAATGTTCTAATTTTTAGAAAAAGAAACAGTATTTTGAGGGAGTTTCTTAAATGGCAGTGAAGGATTAATAACCAATCACTAACCAAACAAAAAAGCCTAACAACTGTCTTTTTCCAGAGGGGAAAAATGTGAATATGAGGCAGTAGCTGGAAGTTTCTTGAAATCATCTTGAAAAGATTTGAAATTTACTATATTTTCAAGATTTTTGCTGGAGAGCAAGGAATTTGAATGAATTGAAAGGATAAAGTAAGTTGGTGGGAGGGTAAGGATGTAACATAGACAGATTTATTTTCACAGGCTTTAAATTTTGATTGCTGTTACTAATATATTGGGTTGGCCAAAAAGTCCACATGCTTTTTTTCCATAAAAACAAGGATACAATTTTCATTTTCACCAGTAACTTGATTGATTTGGATATTTTGAATATGTCAACTGTCTCCCAGAAGGTATCATGTTGATTGTACTCAATTAAAGTCTTGATTTAATTGCTGTCAGCTTCAACTGATCTACCTGACCACAAAGTATCATCCAGCAAGAAATCTCCCAACACAATACCTCACAGACCACTTTTGACACATTTGATCAGTTATAGCACATTCTCCATATACTACCCAAATATTTTTTGTATTTCAGTTGTGTTTTTATCTCTCTTGAAACAATAAAAGCATAAATATGCTGAAAATGTTAATGTATTTTCTTCCATCTTCAATATTAAAATGACTATACAAAAATTCACCAATTTTGATAAGTTTTTATTTAAATGTGTAGCTGATATGACAGCTGTCACAATACAATCTAACAAAATTGTTTCAATGAAGATAAAGACAGCTAAGTGGTACTAGAGTCATCTTATGGAAAAAACCAAATGAACTTTGTGGCCAGCCTGATAATAAGCATAAAACATTTATGGAAGGAGAGTAGTAATTCCTGCTAATTAGTTACTATTTAGACTTTCCGGAACACCTATGTCCAGGGTTAAATTCATCTTACTATATTTACCAGAAGCATAAAAACAAGTTGTACAGTGTCTTAAAGGGTTTTAGGGTCTAGCAAGTTCTATATTTAGCTGTAAAATTTGACCTTTAACATTTTGGGCAACATATCAGGCACTTACTGTATGGCCAGAGGAAGGAATCCTGCTGTTAACAGGAAGTCTTTAGTTAGAATACTAAAAGCAGATTAATTTCCGTTGTTTTGCACTTAAGTATTTTAGTTTCATACAGTTTTAAGTAAGACTTTAAAATTTATTTTTAAAAACAAAGACATCAAGTTATAAAAATGAAAATGGAAAGTGTCAGGCTTTACAAAATAACACTGGAGTTTCCGTTTATTCCAGGATATGCATAAATATTTAGTGAACCATAATTATCTTTTGAGGAGAGGTATTAGTATTAATCATTAAGAATATAACTTTATTTTGTAGAGGAGGCAGTTGGCTTGATTCAATACTTGGATCTCTTTATCAATAGCACAATAATAACATGGGCTATAATGTTTAGTATTTATTACCTGGAGCCTGTAGACCTTTAGAATTCCAGATTCCATTTTGTTTTTGTAGCTGCTACCAAATTAGGAAGTTAGAATTTTTGAGCTTTGTCTGTAAGGGCAGATCTCAGATAATCTGCCTGGTTACATTAGATTAAGGTATTTGGAGACATGCCTAGTGAGAGCTTAGTAGAGAGACAAAATAATTCTTTTTCCACGTCTTTGGGAAATCATGTATGGGGTGGGCAAAAGTACGTTTACAGTTGTGAGTATGCAAAACAATAAATCTATTGTAATAATCATAACGTGCATGTCTTTCTATCCTTGTATTTAGTTTATGAGTGCTTTAATTTATGTCAATGGAAGGTGTATGATTAGTTCCTGTAAATGGAAGTTATTCTGAGGATTATGAATACCATCATTCTTTTCTGGAATCAATTGAGATGATGAAAAATGAATTTTTTCCTTGTAGCTTAGAAACAAGTTCTCATTTTCCACTGATTGAGTTAAAATATTGGTAGCTTGTTTTTTCTTTTATTAGTGGCAGCCATATTTTTCATTAAAGAGTCACATGATCTCTTGTTCTAAGATAACATGGTTAGTAGTATTATCACTCTACCATGTGTGTGGCTTACTTGATTGAACTTTAGTTTCATCTTCTGTAAATTGGTTGTAATTCTACTACTTTATTACAGTAGTTTTGAGTATGAAATAGTACATATGGAAAGGGCCAGGGACAGAATAGACACTCATAATTGTTCATGCCCTTTTTCCAGATTTGGTGTGTTTATTATTGAAGTTTTTACTTTCTTGCTGAGCTCAAGAGTGGAGGTCTGGTGTGTTAAAGTTTGATATAGCCTTTTTAAATTTTGTCTGCTAGACATATTTTATTAGTAGTAATGTTTTATATTTTAGATAAGTGGTGTCCATTCTAATAGGTTTTATAAACTTACCCAAATAATAGTTTGAAAAAAATTTACTGTACATGGCACTTTCAAAAAGTACAGGTGGAGTGTGTCATGAAACCAAAGAAACTATTTGTGGAGATTTCTAAAAAGGTAACAAATTATGATTTCTAAATATGGCATTGGTAAATCTAATGAGACTATAGGGCAAATTGTTAAGGATTAGTTCCTGGAAATGAGATTTTATAGAGAGGTCTTTGTGTTTTCTCTAAATATGAATTTCTAGTTTATTATGCTTAAATCTGGTGTTTGGTACATAAGGCTGTTTAAATGTAGAAGTACATTTGTTTTGAGATTTAATCAAGTCTAGTATATGGAACTTTGGATTTTCTAAGGAGATGAATGAAATTGTCACAAACCTTTTAATACCCTCTGAACCTGTACAGTTTTAAACTACTATGAGGTCTCTCCAGAAGGTATCCAGCCATGTAATATGAAAAATAGAGACATTTATTGAAGATATAAGATACAAGAAACATTGTACATAGGACAATGATGCCCCTTCAAATTAGGACCCTTGGGACCTCACACAGTTCTTCCAATCTCCATCAGATGCCCTATAGTATTTTCCTGAATCTTATCAATGGTCTAAAATCTCTTCCTTTTCAAAGGTGATTTTAGTTTTGCAAAAAGCCAAAAGTCACAGGGCACCAAAGCTGGGCTGTAGAGGAACTGAGTCACCTGGGTGATTTGATGTTTTGCCAAAAACATGATGCATGAGTGGGTGTGTTTTCATGATGAAGCTGCCACGCACCGCTTGACCATAGCTGCAGCCTTCTGAATCGTCTGAATAGTTTCCTCAGAGGAATGTTTAAGCTTAATGCAAATTTTGATGCAGATTCATTACTCTACTCAGTCATTTTGAATGTGACCACACAGTACAAATGTTCACTCAATGATGTCTGCTGTCCCACTGACTAGTATAGCGAAGTCATCATTGTTCACATATGCTCATTCCAGTCTACTCTCCTTAGTTGCCAGGTTACATCAATGTGCAAACTGTTCTTGTTACGTTAGTTGCTGGACTTTTTTCAGACGGACCTCATATAATTTTGTTTTCATTTTTATTATTTTTTTAGACATAGGAAGAGAGAGGGAGGAAGAGATTTGTTGTTCCACATATTTATGAATTCATTGGTTGTTTCTAGTATGTACCCTGACTGAGGCTCAAACCTGCAACCTTGGTATGTTGGCACGATGCTCTAAGTAACTGAGCTACCCAGCCAGGTCCAGGTTTTTTTAAAATAATGCTGTTGTTATAAATGTATACATTTCCAGGGGGATCTTTGTCAGACCAAATGTTATGGTTCTTATAACTTTATATGACTACATTGAATTGACCATGTGTATATGTATATACTGGGTGAGGCAAAAGTAGGTTTATAGTTGTTTTTGAACAGTTTATTCTCGTATTATTATTTATTAATTATTGTATCACTTTCTATAGGAACAACTGCAAACCTACTTTTGCCATATGTATATATGTATGTATGTATGTGTATGTATATGTAAATTTATTTTTAAAATGTTGTCCTAGGTTGTGGCCAGTAGTACATTTTTAGTGATGGAAGTATGAAAAAGTATAAAGCCATTGCATACTCATATAATGTAATCTCAAAGTTATTTTCTATGCACATATCTTTAGTACATTGGCTTATTTCTTTTCTATTTAAATATTTTCTCTTTAAGTCCTGAAGTTCTATAAATTATGCTTATTAAGTAAACCTTCAGTTGCAGTTTGACAGAAGCCAAGGTCAGTTTCACCAAAAGTCCTTTGTTCTGTTCTCTAGTGACCATCTGCTTAAGAAATATATCTGTTTCTTCCCAAAAGGTACTGAGCAAGAGTTACTGTTTTCTTGCATTTTCCTTTTTGCCACAATACTTTGTAAATGATGTTGTATACATTTTATTCCATTAGTTCCAGAGACACGTAATGACTGATTTTTCCGTGATGTTAAGGTTGATCATTCAATTATCTAATTGAATTAGATAATTATCCCATTCATCCATCCTGAAGTTCTCCTTCAGCCTTTCACCTAATGATTTTATGATCCTTAGCTAGATCCATGTATTTCATTAGGTGTTCAAATGGTGATACTCTAATTCTGTCATTTTTTCTTTATTAGTTATAATTCTGTAATGAAGAACTTTCCCTTATCAATTACTTGGTCCTGTTCATATAAGGCAGGATAAGTGCTAGATTTTTTTATTTACTGTTGTTTCAGAATAATGAAACAACAGTAAAGGTAACCAGAGAGTTGGTATTTTAGTATTCTTATAAACTCAGGGATTTTTTTTAAGTTAAACTCCAAGCTTTATTTGGTTAAGAACCCTTTGCCTGATAAAAGCTTATAAAAATTTATCCTACTTAAAAAAGAAGTTTTATGTTTTACATTTGATATATGATCTATCTTGAGTCAATTTGTATATAAGCTAGTAGGTATAGGTTGTGATTAATTTATTGCATATAGATGTCTAGTTCCAACATTTGTTGATAAAACTTTTTCCTCAATTAAATCACCTTTTCACCTTTGTCAAAAATTAATTGACCATGTATGTGTAGATGTATTTCTGGATTCTATTCATCTGTATGTCCTTTTGACAATACCATACTGTCTTGATTACTATACAGTAAATCTTAAAGTCAGGTATTAATGAGTCCTCCAACTTTATTCTTTAAAAAACTGTTTTGGATTCACTAGTTCTTTTGCTTTGTCATGTACATTTTGGAGTCTGCTTATCTATATCTACAAAAACTCCTCCCGGAATTTGGTTGGAATTACCTTAAAACTAAAGATCATTTCAAGAAAAACTGACGTCATATTTTGAGTCTTCTAATCCATTAACATGATAAGACTTCTTTCATTTTTTTATAAGTATTTTGTTAGGTTTATATATAAATGTTTGATTTTTTTTGAAACTATTGTAAATGGTATAAGCAGTTAAATGTTTTCAATTATTGTTGATATGTAGATTTGATTTTTGTAGGTTGATCTTTTCCCCTGCTACCTTAATAAATTTACCTAGTAGTTTTAAGGCACAACCAAATTATTTTTAGAAATTATAAATTGGGAATAGTTTTACAAGTTCATTTTGCTGTTTTAGATGAAATGTGAAATCTAAAATCTTTAATGAGATGAAATTTTCTCTTGCTCACTTTTTCTTTAGCAGTATGCATTTGCTTAAGTAGCTTTGCTAGTAGTTAAATATTAACATGTTCTGGTGATGGAAGTATCAGCCAGAGACACCCAATTTCAAAGAGGAAGACTGCTTCCTCTCTCTTTTTGTAATTAAATAATAGTAAACTGGCTATTTTTAAACTTTTTTTATTGATTGGTTTTAGAGAGAAAAAGAAGAAAGGAGAAGAAGAGATAGAGAGCGAGAGAGAGTGTCAGAGTCACTCGTAGTCAGTCACTCTTAGTGACTCTTAGTCACTCTTGTTATTCCACTTACTTGTGCATTCATTGGTTGATTCTTATATGTGCCCTGACTGGGGTTTGAACCCACAACCTTGTTGTATCCAGATGATCCTCTACCAACTGAGCTACTTGGCCAGGGCACTACTGACTAATTATATGAAGAATTTTATTTATAATGATAAAACCATGAATTATAACAGTACTATATAATCAGGGTAATTAATTTTGTAACCGTTGCTTAAATAGCATCTTTTTCACTTTGAATAATTGTTCTGTTTTTTCTCTTTCTCAGGTATTGGGAGAGTTGCTGCTACATCTTTAGGAAATTTAACTAACCACAGTTCTGAAGATTTACCCCTTCCTCCTGGCTGGTCTGTGGACTGGACAATGAGAGGAAGAAAATATTATATAGATCACAATACAAATACAACTCACTGGAGCCATCCTCTTGAGCGAGAAGGACTTCCTCCAGGATGGGAGCGAGTTGAGTCATCAGAATTTGGAACCTACTATGTAGATCACACAAATAAGAAGGCTCAATATAGGCATCCCTGTGCTCCTAGGTATTGACTTTATTTTCAACTTTTTGTTTTGAGATTGTCTGATGTTAGATTTCAAGATCATTTATTCATCAAAGGGAAAGGTATTCTGAAGTTCAATATTTGAAAGCTTTGTTTTTCATAGTTTATGATAACTTTCTCAGGACTTCTTTTTTAGTAATGAATGAGTTTATAATTTTTTTCAAAAAAAGCTACTTCTCTTTAAAAAACCTCAAAAACAGGCTCAATATTCTTATGATCAGATACTGCTTTAATATGCCAGATACTTCTTTTGTTATAGATACCCAGAAATTAAAACAAACCCCAGACATCTGCCTTTTTATATTTAAATTCCTGTTAGTAATACAGACCTATTTCTTAATGTGTCAAAATATATTTTTGGATTGAAACATCTTGCTGTTTTTATTCAGTTTCAGACATTGTATGTTCTGCTTTTTACCATAACCAGGCAAGAAGGTAAAAAAGAGAACTGCACAAAACATCTGTTTAGTAAATGTAGCCAGTGATCCTTTGGGCTATTTTGATTGATGCCAGGCTTATTAGTCGATCTTGCTTATGGCCAGACTTGCAGCCCTCCAAATACTGTAGTCAGTTGTCACATGTGATTGAGCACTTGAAGTGTGATTAATCCAAATTGAGATGTGTTGTACATGTATTAAATACTCTATATCTCAAAGCATATAAAAAGCTAGTATTGATTTAATAATGAATTTGCAAGTATTCCTAATTAACTACATTTAAGTTCTCAAGAACTGAACCATAAAATTAAAAATGTGTAGAATATCATCAGCATGTTAATATGTTGTTTAGTATCATCTAGCATAATACAAATCTTTGGTTGTAGCAGACATTTGCATTTTTTAGAGTAACAGACGGAAAACAATTAAAATTTAAATCAATTAAATTTTAATTTAATTGATTTTAACAATTAAAATTTTAAAAATCATTATGAAAATACATTTTAATATTATTACCTAGAAAACGAAGCTTTATCATTGTGTTTTGATCATTCTTACATACATATTTGGACTTTCAAGTTTGAAAAGCAGTTTTTTCCTATGATTCCATTTAATGGCACTCAGTCATTGTTTATTAAACAACTGAAGGTATCATCCCTTTAGAAGAACCAGACCAACCAGTCTGCCTATGTTGGGTTGTGGCCCCTTCACCTACTCTCTGTACCATCTCAGACAAGATTCTTCCTCCCTGGCTTCCATTTTCAGGCCTATGACATGGGGGTAGTAATTCAGAGCCCCTCCTACTCCTGCGGTGTCCCCAGCACCCAACACAGAGATGGGCACAAAGTGGGAGTGTAGCAGATGTTTATTGAACAATGGAAAAGATATGGTTATAGTTTCATCAGGTAGCAGAGAACTTTGTGGTTCAGAGAATCAGATTTGAGAGTAGATGGAGCTTAAGTTTCTGTTCATCATTAACCTTACGTTACTATATGGTGTTGTAGTTTACAAAGCATTTTCATAATTAGTTTATCTGCTTTTCTCTGCAACTCTGTAGACATTAAACAGGAGAGAATAAACACCTTCCTTAAGCTCGCAAACGTAGGTAGTATTAATAGCTATTTGATTGTCTATATTGTACTAATCCTTATACAGAACTTTTGACTTACTTTAGGTCACTTAATCATAAGGACAATCATCTTTGGTATGAATTTATTCTGTTTTATAAGTAAGGAGGCTGAGATAAGTAGAGCAGTTTTGCCTACATTCATATAATTTCTAAATGGCTGTCTGCTCTAGGCATACCTCACTTCAGAGCCTCAGTTCTCCCCTACCCAATTGTGCTATCAAAGAATATTTCGCTTTACACCTCCTTATGAAAAAAGAATGAAAGATAACAGGGCCATTTGTACACCGGTTTTTACATTGTTAAACATAGTCTAAGTCTAACACTTCTTTTAATCTCAGATTAGTATTGCAGTGACCTTTTCTGATATATACATAAATCTTAATGTTGGAAGGCAGGCCCACTTACAGTTTTGTTTCCAATCCTGGAATAGACCATTTCGGCCTCCCAGACTTCACCTTCAGATAGTTCCATGCTCTCCTTAGCGTTTTCCTATATAGTAGCCCCTTCCCTGGGTTGCTATTCTCTTTCTGCCCCCAACATGTACAGGCCAATAGAGTTAATTAAAAGCATGCTTTTTAAAAAAGTCTGATTTGAAATAGGTTTTAATAAACTCTTAAGTCCCATATGTTTTCTTAAGGTGGTAAAGCAGAAAGGAAATATTATAGTTAATGTGGATATTTCAAGTACTCCTACTGTACTACATATTTTAAACCTCCTTTTCAGCCTAAAAGAGGAAGAAAATATCCATTATCATTGTGAGAGAAAGTTATCAACCTTTCCAACATAAATTTACAGCTAATTACTAGTAATTACAGGAATTTGTGGTTCTTGTTTTAAGTTTCTGTATAAAGATTACAACTTAGCACCAACTTTTTTAATAGACTTTGAAATCATCCTTGAGAAGACTAAATACTAGCCAGAAGAAATTTCTTAAAAACATGTAAAGATTTAGCTTAGTTTATACCCATCACTAGTGACCTCTGCTAGTTTCAGAGAGAAGGTGGATTTTAATTTCCCTATAGTATGATTTCTTTTTTAATGCCAGACTTTAGACTTTCTTAGGTGGTAGAAGGAACTCAGTTTGGTCAGGAGGCTCATTTTCAAAAATTCTTCAATATTATTTGTTTTTATAGTTCTTGTTTAGATTTAGGACCTTTACCCTAATGAATGTCAATTCTTTCTTCTTAGTGTACCTCGGTATGATCAACCTCCTCCTGTCACTTATCAGCCACAACAAACGGAAAGAAATCAGTCCCTTCTGGTACCTGCAAATCCATATCATACCGCAGAAATCCCTGACTGGCTTCAGGTTTATGCTCGAGCCCCTGTGAAGTAAGCGAACTTACAGCACAAATTTTTGTTGAGGAGTAAGTGGAGAACTAAATAGAGTCTCTGGGCTGCTTAACTCACCCAGCAGATGTTTTTTCTCTTCATAATATTGGACTTCTAAATAATATTCTGTTTGAAGAAAGGATAAGTTGATTAGAAATATGTCGTGCAAACATGTTTTGAATCTTTACGTTGTATGCAGACCTGAACTATATTAGGGATATAATAAGAAGCTTTCCATTCTCATAAGGGGAAATTGAGTTGCAAATAAGTGTTATAAGACCTTGGGATAAGAGTAAGGACCCAGGTAAGTCCTAGGTACAGAGGTGAAACAAAGCAAGACACAAAGGTGTTTAAATGTTACAGGTAGTGGCTGCAAGTGCTGGAATAAAATGATCTAAGTTCACTGATACTTTTTAGCTGTGTAACCCTGGGTAGGAAGTTTAACTTAGTTTTGTCTTCTGTCAGTTAGGGATAGTGATAGTACTTATACTTAAGGTTATTAAAAATTTAATAAAATGATGCATCTAAAATATATATCACAGTACTTTACACCTAGAGAGAACTTAGTAAATGATTATTGCTGTTATTGGGGATAGAAGTGTAGAATAGTGGTTAAAATAGCTCAGGAAGGAAACAATGTGATTTCTGGCTCCATCACCCACTTACTAAATGACCTTGTACAAGTTACTGAACTCAGATCTAAGTGTTTTTCCTCTACTGAAACGTGGGAATAATAAGCTTACCTGCCTTTTTTTGGTATGGTGAGATTTAAAAGTGATCATACATTTTAAAAAAGATTTTATTATTTTTAAAGAGAGGGGAAGGGAGAGAGAAGAAGTGAAACATCTATGTGCCAGAGAAACATTGATCAGTTGCCTCTCACATGCCCCCAGTTGGGGACCTGGCCCAAAACCCAGGCATGTGCCTGGAATCGAACCATTGACCTTTTGGTTTGAGGGATAGTGCCCAACATACTGGTTTACACCAGTCAGGGCTGATCATGCATTTTAAAGCACATGGTGCAGTGACTGTCATGTGTAAGCCCTTATGAGTGGAGCAAGAAACCTGCACTAAAGAGGGAAATAACATGTTCTAGTTTTTAAAAATGGCTGAGTTTGCTGGACTCATTGAGGATATTTACTGGGTGCCATAGGAGACACTGTTCTTGGAACGTAATCATGAATGAATTAATGAAATCTTGGCCTCAAAGAGTTTTTCTCTTCTGGGAAAACAAAAATAAGTACTCAGATCAGTAGCCCAGCATGATAAAGATTAGTAATAGTGTTATATGCAATGTGCTACGATTTCAGAAAAGGGGGTGTGTGAAAGTAAAGAGTTGTTGATTGTCCAATGCTTCCTGTGCTAAACTTTTAGGCATGTTCTCTCATTTAATCTTCCCAAAACCCATTTCGCAAGTGAAAAAACAGACTTTATCTCTGCTCCTGTCACAACTATTAAATGGTAGATTTCAAACCTTTATCTCTAACTTCAAAGATCATTAACTTTGGCCACTGGTGCTTTCTTATTTAATAATAATTGTCATTTACTTAGCAACTATTAAATTCCTGGTACTTTGCTAGGCATTTTACATATAGTTATTTAATGTACTTGTATTTTTAATAGTAAGGTAACATTCAGTTACCAGTTTTTGTAGCCTTACTCTTTATTTCCCTTCTGTATTTCAGAAACCAAAATTTATCAGCATAAAATAGTCCAAAGAGTTTTAGAGAATTTAAGATGATTGGACAATGAATTTGGAATAAAATAATTAAATCTTTCATGCCCAGATAAAAGGAGTGTAAGACCTCTCATGTATACTTTTTGAAATAGTAATTCTTTTCTATGGTTATAAAGGATCATCACTGAAATAAAATCTCTAAGAGGTTAAGCCACCTCTGATTTAAATTTTTATCATACTGCTATGTATTGACTGGCCCTTTGTGTTTGTGTGTGTATGAACACATGATTATGCCTTTAATTCTTTTTTCTTGCTTTAGAGCATTTGTTATTGGCTTCTTTTCAGACTTTTAATGTGAATAGTCAGTATATTACTTAAAGGATATGCCTTATCATTATTTGACCATAAATCTTGTCATTTAGGCTAGTTTAACATTCTCATAGTTATTGGTCACTTACTGTGAATTATTAATTTTTGGCCAACATAAACATTCCCCTACATTCCCTCTGTTCTTCTCAGTCTGTAAATTAATAGCTGTTGATCTGTGGCCTGATGCAGAGAGACAAGAGGATCCTTGAGGGTTGTTGTCTAAAAGTATCAGTTATTTTCTTTTACCCCAAAGTCAACTTTAATGTAATTTTTAAAAAATTCTTAATATTAGATATTCTGCAAGGGATATACAGTGCTTATGTAATGTTGGTTTTAGTTTACTTGAAAATTAGGTACACATTTATCCATTCAGCATGGTTGGGAGTCTCGCTAACCTACACAAGCTTCTTTATCTGATTATCTGTCCATACAGATACAGGAATGGGATTAGGAATGTGATGGCAGATGGATTTTTCTTCCCTTTCCCCTCTTCTTTTACTCTTTGTCCCCCTTTTTTAAAAAACTGAATGTATTTGGGTGACACTGATTAATAATATATAGGTTTCAGGTGTATAATTCTATAATACAGTGACTATATATTGTATTGTATGTTCACCAACCCAAGTCAGGTCGCCTTCCATTACTGTTTATGCCCCTTATACCCTCTTCTACCTCCTCAAGCCCCCTTCCCCACTGGTAATCACCATGCTGTTGTCTGTGTCTGAGTCATTTTTGTTTTTGCTTAATCCCTTCTTTCACTCTTGAATACCACCTGACCCGCCACTGTATATAGTCTTTATACATATGCTCATCCTTTTTGGGGGGAATTGGTAAGGTTTTTTTGTTGTTGTTGTTGTTGTTTTAAATTTTTATTATTTTAATTTATTTTTTTTATTTTTATTTTTTAAAAATTGATTATGCTGTTACAGTTGTTCTATTCCCCCCTTCATTCCCCTCCACCCTGCCCCCCCATCCCCACCATTACCCCCCTTTAGTTTATGTCCATGTGTCTCAAGTCCTTTAGGTTCTATATTTCCCATGCTATTCTTGCCCCCCCCCATCTATTTTCTATCTACTGTCTATGCTACTTATTTTCCGTACCTTCTCCCCCCCATCTCCTCCTCCCACTCCCCTGTTGCTAACCCTCCTTGAGATCTTCATTTCTATATTTCCACTCCTGATCTAGCTGTTCTTTTAGTTTGCTTTCGTTTTAGGTGTGGTTGTTAATAACTGTGAGCTTGTTGTTCTTTCACTGTTCATGTTTCTTTAACTTCTTTTTCTTAGATAAGTCCCTTTAACATTTCATATAATAAGGGCTTGGTGATGATGAACTCCTTGAATTTGGTCTTGTCTGAGAAGCACCTTATCTGTCCTTAAATGAAAGTTTTGCTGGATAGAGCAATCTTGGTTGTAGGTCTTTAGATTTCAGGACTTGGAATATTTCTTTCCAGCCCCTTCTTGCCTGTAAGGTCTCTTTTGAGAAATCTGCTGACAGTCTGATGGGGACTCCTTTGTAGGTGATTGTCCCCTTAGCTCTTGCTGCTTCTAGGATTCTCTCCTTCATTTTAATTTTGGCTAATGTAATTATGATATGCCTTGGTGTGTTTCTTCTTGAGTCCAACTTTTTTGGTACTCTCTGGGCTTCTTGGATTTCTTGGAAGTCTATTTCCTTTGCCAGATTGGGGAAATTTTCTTTTATTATTTGTTCAAATAAGTTTTCCACTGGTGGTTGTGTCTTTCCCCCTTCTGGTACCCCTATAATTCGGATATTGGAGCGTTTATAGATGTCCTGGAGGTTCCTAAGACTCTCCTCATTTCTTTGAACTCTTGCTCCTTGACTCTTTTCTGTTTGGCCATTATTTGCTTTCTTCTGGTCCACTCCATTGATTTGAGTCCCAGTTTCCTTTTCATCTCTATGGGTTTCCTGTGGAATTCCATTCATTTCCCTTAATTTAGCCTTCATATGTTTCTCTAATTTGTGGCTATAATCAACCAGATCTGTGAGGAAGCTGATGACCAGTGTTTTAAACTGTGCGTCTGAGAGTTTTGCTATTTCTTCGTCGCTTAGATTTATCTCTGGGGCTTTGAGGTCTTCCTGCGACATTTTTGGTCTGTTCTGGCCCTTTAAATGTGAGAAGCGGCACCTTGGACTCCCAGGTCACTGGGTTGTGACGCTGTATGTGGGGGCGTGGTCAGAGCGGGGAAATGGCGGCGCCCTCTATCGCCAGGGCCGCCCTCTATCGCCGTAGCGGCCGGTCCAACCGCCCACTCCCTCGCTCCGCGCAACCAGGCAACCGCAGTCAACACGCTGCACCGCCTCCCCACTGTCTCCTCAGCAGTCGCCCGGTGGGCTGCTCGGTTGCTCACCAGGTCCAATCCTGCGTTTGGAACCCGAGCGTCTGGATTCTGTGCCCGGGTCCGACCGAGCCCTCCTTTGCAAATCCTCACCAGACGCCGGTTTCGCCGGGCTGAAGAATTTGTTGTTAGCGGACTTCCGAAAAGTTCAGTTTTCCGTGTTCTGGTTGTGTTTTCTGATGCTAATATTTAGTTGTCCCCAAACTTGGTTGTGTGAGAAGGCACGGCACATCCACCTATACCTCCATCTTGGCGGAAGTCTCCCCTGGAATTGGTAAGGTTAAAGAGGGTTACTCTTTGTACTTGATGTTATTTCTACTCTGCAGTCATTGTTAGAAAAAAATAACTTAAAAAGCTTTTCTTCGGGGGGGGGGGAAAGGTAGTACTTTGATGGAATTCCTTGCTTCTTATGAAAAGAAGGACTTCCAAAGATTGTAATTCCTTTCATGTCCAGTTCTATGAGCTAGTTATAAAGCTTTAGGAAACTAGTGACCTTCGTCCCCCCTCCCCCAATTAGCTCAGAATCCTTCCAGAATGGGCCAGACTGGAAAAAGAGAGCAAATACTACTTTGCTGAAATACTTTAAGGTCTAGAAACCTGTTGCTTTTCAGTTGTTCCTAAATTTTTATTCCTAAAGAGTGTGGAATGGTTAATACTGTTCTGTCAAGAAATGGTAAACTGTTATCTGTGAATTAGATGATGGAAAATCAATTACTTATCAGAAAGACAGGTGTTAGTCAAAAAAAAAAACCCCAAAAATTAGGCTTTCTTCCTCTTGTTTAACAATTGACGGTCTTCCAACTTCCTGAAATTTTTGTTTCTACCTCTAGCAGTAACTTACCAAAATAATGTTTGTGTGTACTTTCACAACCTGGATTAGAAACACATTATGTTTTAAAGTTATTACTTATTAATTTTAGTGAAGTTATGTTTCTGAGTCTACTCACAGAAGTCTATAATGGATCATATAGCTGTAAGTAAGCCCAACTACCAGATAAAATTAAAAGATTTAATCTTTAACAGCAAGAAGACTGTCAGGAACACACTTTCTTATGTTTCTCACACACACCCCAACACCAGTCCCCAGTAGCATTGTGGCATGGATTCTGTCTTACTCCTGTGGCTTGGTGACCCTGCACTGTCACCACTGACCCAGCTCTGGGTGTAAGTAGGTAGAAAGAAAGAGGGGGCACACTGTTATGCGACCCGGTGCAGGGAACCTAGGCTACATTGTGATACCTGGAGTTGAGAAAGGTAGTACTTTTGACTCCTAAAAGCAGCATCCACTGCAGTATGAACACATTTTTTAAAAATAATTTTATTTATTTTTTAGATTTTTATTTATCTTTAGAAGGGAAGGGAAAGAGAGAGGGAGAGAAATATCAATGTATGGTTGCTTCTCATGTGTCCTCTGCTGATAACTGTCCCCTGCTGGGAACTGGCTTGCAACCCAGGCCTGTGCCCTGACTGGAAATAGAACCGCGATCCTTTGGTTCGCAGGCCCGTGCTCAATTTACTGAGCTACACTAGCCAGGGTGAACACATTTTTTTTTTTTGGTAGCAGTATAGCAATAGCTATTTCTATCCATGAGCTATTTATTAGTAATGTTTGGATAGAATTCCATCCTAGGGAAAAAAAATAGCAAAAGAAATGCTGTAAGAATAGGCTACTATTAGGGGGTGGGCTGGAATGGGGGTAAAGGACAGACAACTGTCCTTGAACAACAATTAAAATTTAAAAAATTAAAAAAAAAGAGTATGCTATTGGAGTGGTTTTTACAGTCTATGTTCTAAATGATTTGCCTATATATTTAGAGTATAAGTGGCTAAAAGTTAAACTTGGGGAAGTAGATTATTTGGCTAGTTAAGGAAAGAATGGTGATTATATTCTTAAAAAATAATCAGGCATATTGGGATGTATTATAGGCAGAAGGGAAGTTACCATATAGAAGGGAAGGGGCAAGGATTTGGAATGGAAATTGGTGTATTGTGTACTCTTCTCATCTCTGCTCTTCCTTTGAGTGCTTTTTCTTTTTCCCAAAGGATTTTCTCTAATTATTCTGATTTTGTGCTTCTATCCATAATGCTATTCTTGAAGTTAAATACTGATTAGGAGGTCAGAAAATTACCTGAAACTTTTTATTTTTTATAAAATTTGAGTGCTTATACAAAATATTTATATCTTAAAAACAGGTACATTTAACCAATTTATTCCTCTTTTTTCCTTGCTAGAAAGTACACAGATGATAAGTGAGTTTGAATGTTCTTACATTATAGTTCACCACCTGGTATAAATTTAAGCATCTTGAAGCAGTAGGCGTTGCTGAATGCCCCTTAACTGTGGGATTCATATTCTGGAAGATTAATATTTTTGTTAGGAATTATGAATTTGTTTCAAACAAATAAGTAAAATTTTTAAGCTACATGAATGGCAGATGTTCTAGAAAACACTTTACAACTGTTTCTTCATGGAGGCTCAGTGAGTATATCTTGCAATATCTCCCTAATATAGGTTGGCAAGTAGTTGGAGTTTCCTACTGAGGAGAATATAAAACTTTCTACCAAGTTTATCTATTAGTAAATTTGTAGCACTCATTAACTAATTAAATGAGTAAAATTGGGACCGAACAAAATATGTTTACCTTGTGGTTTTACATATTGTACTCCTGGTATTCTTGGTACATATACCCAAGTTAAACAGAAATGTGTGCCAATGTGCCAAGCACAGTATTTGGCTCATACTTGCTGCTCAGTATTTCTTTACTGTTTTTCTTTTTTAAAAGCCTTTTAAAATTTACATTAGGTGATCCTTTTGGAATAAGATGGTAAATGAATTACCAAAGGACCATTGAGTAGGAATAATAAATGATCATTAAAAATAAATTTACTAGAATTTATAATCAGAGCTTCCTATTATGCCAGCTCTGCAGTATTTGAGAATTTTAACTTCACTATCATATAGATATATATGCCTTGCTCTAGTTCAAGTTCTTTGTCTAGTCTAAGTATTAGCATTCAAAACTATTACTCTGAAGTGTCTTGTTCTGTAGTTCTCTGTCTGATCTTTCAGTCACTAAACAATTTTGCATGGCCTCTGGTCATGCAAATTTTGTATAACCTCTGGGTTTCAGGGTTTTTTTATCTGCAAAATGAGAAAAGTGGATTAGAGTGCTGTCTTCAGATGTCTTTCAGGTCAAAGTGTTAAGTTACTGCTTTAGTAGTTTGTGGCACACTTGCATCTCAGTATGCGATCTACTATTGAAGAAGGCCTTCTGAGATGCATATATAATCTTACATGAGGCCTTCCCCACATTGTGGCATCTTCTACAGTCTGCTTATTCTCTCTTTTTGAAAAGAGCTTATTTCTTTTCTGCTTGGGTTTTTCTGTCGTTGGTTTTTTTTTTTTAAATACCGCATACTCAACCTCAAACTCAACCCACAAGATGGTTCTTCATTCCTCTTCTGTTGGTTCCTTGTTTGCTGTAGTGACTATTCCTCAAAAAGCTCTATCAACACTAATGACCTATCAACACTAATGACCTTGCCCATTTTTATGTATTGTTGTTTGCAGGCACAGTGTGGTCTAAAGCATTCTTAAGTTCCTGACAGTTAGCCTTGGAGGAACTTACGAATAGCGTAGAATGTGTTCTTCAGAAATTATAGAAGCACAGTGGTTTGAAATCTGTGTTTATTGTTACCTAGTGTTAATATTAGAATAACTGATACTTAAGATATTTTAAAAAATGGGTATTACTTATATTGAAACGAAGTAATAATAGTTTCCTCCTCTCCCTAAAAAATAGTATAAATAGCAGTTAATAACTCAGATATTTTCAATTATGGTTTAAACTTTGTTTAGTTTTAATAAAGTTGACATAAAAATAGACCAGTTGATTACATACATACATATTTATATATGTACTCTGAATGTATATGCGATTGTGTTTTAAAACAGATATGACCACATTCTGAAGTGGGAACTCTTCCAGCTAGCTGACCTGGACACATACCAGGGAATGCTAAAGTTGCTTTTCATGAAAGAACTGGAACAGATCGTCAAACTGTATGAAGCGTACAGACAGGCTCTTCTCACGGAGTTGGAAAACCGCAAGCAGAGGCAGCAGTGGTATGCCCAGCAACATGGCAAGAATTTTTAAGTTAATTTTTAAAAAGTAGAATTTGTTTTTAAGGGCTTTAAAATATTTTCAGATAAAAACCTGCAAACAATTACTTTGGTTAATAAATGCAGCTTTTTAGAAATTGTAATATTCTAATTTTACATGTATTTTTGTTATTAAAAGTATGTACTCTTATTGAGCAAAAAATAGAAAAAGAGTTTATCATTTTAAGAGCCACCATGGAAAACTTCTAAATGTTACATATTAGGAAACTGCTTTGAATATTGGCGGAGACAAATGAAGCAAGAAATGTCATTATGAGATACTAAAAAGGAGTGATCACTTGGTAGACTCTTACAGTAGCAGGACCTTTCTTTAATAAACAGAGATAACCTATGCAGTATTTAAAAAAAGATGTTTACTGCTCTGCTTTAATGTGGAACATTGTCTGGAATTGAATGCTTTAAATGTTACTATTGTGTATAGTTCAGAATATAAAGTGGGATTTGGGACTTCTATTGGAATAAATTTTTATATATAATTTATGAGATTCTCCTCCCCCTCAAAATATAAAAAACTCTCTTAAATGTGATGAGAACATATTTTTGTGTATGAAAGGGTGAAGGGCTTGCAATCTTTCAGGAATAAATTTAGGCGTAAAGCCTTAGCCTGTGTGGAAAAGGACACAGGACTTAAAGTTGCCAACATCACTTCCTTCTTTTTGGCCAGAGCTCTTAACGGCATTTAGGAGCATGGCTCTGGACAGACAGTGGAGGGTCCCCCGACAGCGTAGCTGCCATCCTAACAAGCTGGACTGGGCTGCCAAAAATGACAATCAGGGATTTATTAAGAAATCTTGGGCAATAAATTGATTTTACTTCTCCTTTATTTTTAAAGAATTTGTCATGGAACTTTAAAACCCAGTATTTTATTTTCCTTTTGATTTAATGCTAAGTTCATAATTTCTGTAGTACATTCGATTGCAGACAAATTAATAGCACTTCTAGCCTATAACGTCTAGAATTCCATGAATTTCAACATTAGTTGAAGTAGTTCTTCAGTTATATTTCCATGTGTTGTAAATATGTGAATATATTTTTAGTTTAGGTAATCTTCCAAAATACAAAGCACTCCCAGATAGAGAGCAGTGAGTTTGAATTGTTGATAAAATGTTGGAAATGTTAAATGTTTGATTTTATACAACAAGCTTATTAAATATATTTTTGTGGAAACTAAATGTGTTCGACTTCATGTTTTATACATAGTGCTATGAATGTTTGATTTTTTTCACTCATAAGATCCATAGGCAAAGGAAGCAATATATTGAACGGGGTATTGAAAAATGAAAATAAGCTAGAATTTTATCAGTGGGGAAAGTTACTTGTAATGCAGGGCATGTGGTCAAACTTTTGTAAGATTTAAGTTTACGTATCTTGTGGACTGTCACAGGCTTTTCTATCTGAATTACTTGTTCTTGTTACACCTTACTTTATTATGATTTAATTATATTACAGCTAGGCCTTTTCTAAGAAAGTTAGAAATTACTAGAGCTCCCAGGTAAGAGGCATTACTTTTCTTTTTTCATCACCACGCTTTCTTTTTCTCTAAAAGGTATGCTCAGTGAAATTTCACTAGAGATTTTAGTAATTAGAAATGCAGTATAGACTCACTGGTTAAAAAGAGAAGATACCTAAAGGGAATAGGATACGCTTCTTTAAAATGGAAACCTAAATTTGTAATGGGGTCAATATTAAAAAAAAATGCATTTTCAATTTTTAAAAAAAGATAAAACATCACCATTCTTTATCAACACCTCAAACATTTCCAAATTCAGGAAGCATTTGTTTTTAATCTTAGGAACCAAAGTAAACTTTAATAGTAGTTCACATTTTCAAAGAATAAACCTATGATGAATACATTTCTTTGTGTACCAAATGAAAAAGTGTACAATGCAGAAACTCACATACAGTGTGGTTTTTGTGCATTTTTGATCAAGAGGTTTATATTTTATAATATATAAAAGAAGCAATACATAGTTTTTGATAAAGCAGCTGAAAAGCTCTCTTAAATGTCTTTAAAAATAAAAGCTTATGGTATGTAAGATGATACAAATTGGATCAAGTCTGTTGACTTCTAATGCTGTGCTTTAACAAATGACGGAAATAACTTAAAAATTCTTCTGTAGAAATTAAATGAGCATATTCAAACATGGAGTAATATTACTACATGTTTTAATTATAACCCAGTAGTAGAATTTAGTAAATTCAAGCAGAACACATATACTATCATCATAAATAGACAAATAATTTTAAATTATAACAGCATATTTGAAGACAAAAACCAGGATACTGTACATGTTAACAAAATGATAATAACCATGCATATATCTGCTATTAAACACTGAAATAAAAGAATTAAACCATTCTGCAGACTTCAGAGTTGTGTGGTATTTTATTCTGTTCTGATGGAAGCACTGTGAGTGTTTACATGGAGACTTGAAATAATATTTAAATGACAGCTGGTCATGCACCTGTACTTTTTAAAATTTGGATTAAATTTTCTTCTTTTCTGATTGTTCAGTAGATTCTGACTTTGGTGCGGGAAAAGCTTGATGATACAGATGTCTGTGGGTTGCTGCTGCGCTGTACAGCTTGTATAAAGCCTAAAAATACAAGAGTACAGATTATAAAACATATTAAACACACAGATGTAAAATTTTTCCTTGTTAGTATAATTAATTAGTTTATGGTACTATATGAAGTACAGTATGCTAAATTTAGTGTCTATATATAAATTAATAACTGGTATCTTAGAACCCAAAAGTATTTTCAGCTCTCCCCTATATATGTTACTACTTTCGTGGATTGATCTTCATGGTAAATGTTTTATTCTCAGGCTGCATTTCCTTTTACCTTGCACCTGTCTGGGAGTGCAGCTTCCTAACCACTCATTATGTCCCAGGGGCATGTTAAGAACTTGTCAGTTTTAGAGGAATTATAGGGGCTCAAAACTTCTCACTGCCAATGGCTACTTTACTGTACGTAGCAGACCACTTGTTATCAGGGCTTCCTTAGATTTATCAGAATGGGGCCACTTTTAGTCATCACTATTTCCTGATAGAGTCAAGCAAATGAGCACATAAGTTGCCCCCTCTCTCTGTCCCACTGGGATTCCTCATTTAAATGTTTTCTTGTCTTTCTGTTAATTAGTTCATATTTTATAAAACCTTATTCAGAAATATTACCTCAGAAAGCCTTTTAAAAAAATTAAAAATTTATTGGGGTGACATCAGTTAATAAGATCATACGAGTTTCTAGTGTACATTCCTATGATACTAGATCTGTATATTGTGCTGTGTGCCCACCATCTAAAGTCATACCATCTTCCGTCACCATATATTAGGTCCCCCCCAGTCCCCTACGCCACAACCCCTTCCCACTAGCAACCACCACATTGCTGTCTGTGTCCCTGAGTTTCAGTTTTATATCGCACATGAGTGAAATCATATGTCACCAATTTTAATCTACATTTAGATATCCTTTAATGGCTAGTTGGTTTGTAAAATAAGAACATCATAATGTTTACAAATATATAGCTCTTAGTTTAAAAAAATTTAACTTACCTCATTTGTACTTCCCTGTGGCAAAGGCAGTTTAAAAGGGAGAAAAGAAAAGTATATATCCTGTTTCATTAATAGCATTATGATATTCAGCTTTGCTTATAGTATTAATTGATGAACATTTAAGAACAAATATCCCTGTAGATTTGTTTATATTATATATTTTATATAAATTTTTTAAAGAACCCAATTCTATATCCCTGATAGGTTTCAGTGTCATATTCTAGGAGAGCAGTGGGATTTTCCTCAGATAGCCCCCTTTTTAGCCTTTTGAGGTTGAGGGGCTATTTAAGACAGTGGCTCAGAGGATCCAGTTTTAATTCATTTTTTTCCCATAGTGCTACCATTAGTTTATCTTAACTAGATTTTTCAAAGGCCACATGGTAAATCCATTAGCTAAAATTCTGTTTTAAAAGGTATATGTAAGTATATACGTTTTTACGATTTTATTTATTTTTAGAGAGGGGAAGGGAGGGAGAAAGAGAGGGAGAGAAACATCCATGTGCCATTGCCTCTCAACGCACCTCCTTCTGGCCCACAACCCAGGCATGTGCCCTGACTGGGAATTGAACTGACAACCGTTTGGTTCCCAGGCCGGCACTTCATCCACTGAGCCACGCCAGCCAGGGCTGTAAGTATATTCTTAATGCTGGGAGAATTGTTATTACTTGCTACCTCAGATCATAAATGTTCAAGTCTTAACTTCAAAGTTTTCTGACAAATGTCAACTTTAGCTTCACTAAATTCCCCTAAATTTTCATGAGGGAACTGAGGACACTTACAGAATGACATAGTGAATTGATGATTGTTCTAGGTTTGTTGATAATTATCTCCCCTAGCCATAGTCAATTATTTAAACAATTATTTAAACAATGGTGAGCCTGACTCCCCAGGTTATGATTAATTGTCCCATAAAGGACAACTGACCCATGAGCAGCTGGTCAGGAGGTTGACCAGGACTTACGCTATGGCCTGGTACAAATGTCTATTTCAAATAAAGATAATCTGGAGTAATCAGATAATGTTTTTAGGAGTTGGTACTTAACTGAGAGAATGATAGGACAACTTACATTAGTGGTTCATATGATCCTAACAAAGTCAATGCTAGTCAAACAATATGTTGTATATTGTTAAGGCTAACATATATAAATGAGTCACAATGAGCTAAATATAAAATGTGTTTTCTCATACTACTTTTAACCTTTAACTTTTAGGATAGGAGAAAGTAAAAACACTGCCTAATCCATGTATTTTTTAAAAAATATTGAAATGTTAACTGGAAACAGTTGTGTGTGGGACTTCACATTCTGTATTACATAGTTATTTGTATCTAACCGTTCGACAGATTCTAAAGTTCTTGAAAACTGGAGCCCAGGTCATGTTGATCTGTGTATTTCCAACATCTAACATAGTGTACTGTACGTAGATGGCATTCAAAGGTGCACTGTACTCAGCTGAAGAGAATTAAAAGTGTTCCTACCTGGTCCCACAAGGCTGCAGCCACCTGGTCTATCACAGCTCCCAGCTCTCGGTATTCTCCAGAGTACCGGATGTACGCCCAGGTGCACAGGGTGATGAGGGTCAGTCCCATTATCATATTACATAGGCTAGCTATGATGTCCAAACCAATGAATCCAGTCACACCGGCAATCACATATGTGATAAAGATGACAACAAACAGTGTGGCTGGAGTACGAGCTGCATGGAAGATATTTTTGCTATCATTGTGCTTGATATACTGGATATAAAGTTCATCTATTTCACTCTCCAACTGTTGCAGGTAACGCCGGCTAAATTCCTCCCCACCCATCTTCTTCACCCCTCGGAATAGCTTCACAGACTCTTCCTTAAGTTCCAGATGTTTGGTCTGCAGGTCATTAGGGGCCAGAAATGGTTTGTCACCACCACAAATCTGTATCAGATGCAGAAGTATTGTTTATGCAATGCAGAGTAAAATTAGCAACTGTATAAAAAATTTTCACTTAACTAAATTTGTTACAACACATTTATAATCAAGGAGCTTTCCACAGTTCATATCTATCAGGTGTGACTATAAGTGGGACTGGTGCTTTATAAGTGATTTACATAAAGTCATTCTAATTTTTGTTTTCTCTTTGACATGGGAAAGAATACCCGTAACTTAATCCAAGTTCCTCAAGACGAAAAGGCATGACACAAAGTGAACTGCAAACAGTTCATTTACAGAATGAATCAAATTCAAGAAACCTAGTCCCTTTGGGAATTTTCTTGTAACTGCACTGCAATGATTTTTACTAATGAAGTTTCATTTAAAACAATAAGCAATGCTATAAAGCTCTAAAGTAAAATAAAAAATTTTCTTTGGCAGTTTCACTGATTTTTGTTTCCCATTCAGTATTTTCTTCAAGAGACTAAACGGAGAAACATAGTAAATGTTCTTGCACCAAATTTTCAGCTGTTTTTCAGAAGTTATGAAGAAAATTTCACTCATATCATTCACTTTGGTTATTTGAGATTCACCTATATAAAGGATAATCTCATTCTAATTACCCTTTAGTTAAATCAGAAACAATATTCCATGTACTGTACTTCCCTTGACTCTAAGGCTCCATCAATTTTGAATGTAATTTTGATTTTATAACATTATCAGGGGGAAAAACACCCACCACATTAGATGTACACAATAATTATTAGTTGTATCCTAATTGAGAATGTTAAACAAAAAGAATATATATGATATGTAGAAATATGGGCCCTAGAGGCTTAATTTTTTTTAAGATAGAAATTCTGGAATTGTGGAATGAAAGGAGGTGAGGTGGAGAGGGTAGCATATGTTATTTTAGCCACTAAATCAGAAAGTAGTGGAAAGATGGGCAAAAAAATGTGTCTATTAAATACAGAAATAACCTTTAAAATACATTGAAAATTGTGCAATACATAGTGTTCTTTTCTTGGTTTCTTGTAAAATATTTTAGGAATACAAGGAATAGAAATGTAATACACATATAGGCTGAGAAAGTCAAAGCCACTTCTTTGCATGTGTATACAGTCTAACTTGGAAGGAATGAGATCATGGGAGAAATACTGACTATTTAAAACATTTAAAATATAATTTAATTCTTACCTCTTCCATTTTTTTGTTGTATGTATCCTTGGCAGTTGCTACGGCTGCTAAATTGTTAGCTTCTGCTGTGGCCTTTGGATGAAGTACAAAATATGATGTAAAGTGGAATTCATATTTATTAAACTTCCACAGGCAGTTCTCATTTATAAGCATCATGTATAAGAAATGTGCAAGAACCCAAGGTCATCAAATAATTTGAAATCCTTGAAATATTTCCACTATATTTTTTAAAAGCTTAGTAAAAATAAAATTTCAAAATGCATAATACATAGATGTTTACTTAATAAACCATAGTTCTAAGCTGAATTTTCATTTGGAAGGTTTTTTTCCTCAAAAATATTTTTTTGAGGAAGTATTTTTCCTCAAAATATTTTTAAGCCACTCACCAAATCAGGGGAGGGGGGTCTATAAATCCATGCACATGGGAAATAATATATAGTATATTTTATATACACTAATATAATTATATATTTACAATATGTCAAGTTTAAGGACTGCTACTGATAGAACAATGTATTTGTTAACAAAAAGGAACTATTAAGAACTTAAAGAAAAAATTGCAAATAAAAAGGCCAGTTTCTCTTTTTTCAAATGTTATTTGTAGAGCCCACTTGTTTAAAACCTGGACCTGCTTTTCTACTTCTTGTTACATGTGTGACTCTAAACCACCGTATGAGTCTGTTTTCTAAACAAACTGACTACAAGGAGAATGCTGCTATATGTTTATGTGATAGTTTATCTCCACATGCAAATGGGCAGTTATTAGAAAAGTAACCTAATAAAGTAATCTATCATTCCGCCTACTATTTTAATTTGGTAATTTCTGACAAGCAGATTGGAACATAATCGTTTTCTTAGTATAGCATAAAGCTAAGAAAAGCTTAGCTGTAGTGATAAGTATGTTTTAAAGTGTCATGCCTCCTGATTAATAAATACCTGTAACATGGACTTGGGATGTGGTAATTCTTCACCTTGATAAATCTTTATATAAGCCTAAAAAGAAAGAAAGCAAAAGACTCATGTTCAAGTAATTCTATTCTTTATTTCCCTAATTCTGTTAAAGGTCTAAGGTCTTGGCGGTTTCAGGAACTATTATCTTTTTCTTATCCTTTAATCCCTTCTTACCTAGTTCTTGTTCCTTTTTTGCATTTCCCCCCTTGCTGATCCTACTCTTCTTTTTTTTTCTTTTTAATATATTTTATTGATTATGCCATTACAATTGTCCCATTTCCCCCCTTCATTCCCCTCCACCCTGCACACCCCCTCCCCCACCATTTCCTCCCCTTTAGTTTATGTCCATGTGTCACAAGTTCTTTAGATTCTACATGTCCCATACTATTCTTGTCCTCCCCACTGTCTATTTTCTACCTACTATGTTACTTATTCTCTGTACCTTCTCCCCCCTTCTCCTCCTCCCACTCCCCTGTTGCTAACCCTCCATGTGATCTCCATTTCTGTGGTTCTGTTCCTGTTCTAGTTGTTTGCTTAGTTTGTTTTTGTTTTTGTTTTTGTTTTAGGTGTGGTTGTTAATAATTGTGGGTTTGCTGTCATTTTCCTATACATGTTGTTTATCTTCTTTTTCTTAGGTAAGTCCCTTTAACATTTCATATAATAAGGGCTTGGTGATGATGAACTCCTTGAATTTGACCTGATCTGAGAAGCACTTTATCTGCCTGATCCTACTCTTCTTAAAGGCTTAACTCACTTCTACCACTTTTAAAGCCTTCTCAGATCCCTCTGCTGGGAGTGACCTTCCTTTTTCAGTTACCCACAGGAATATGTACCTGCTAATGTCATAAGCTTCATGAAACAGGTTTCTGGAATGGTCCTGAATCTCCTATTAACTTCTAAGTTCCTCCACAATGTTGTACACAGAATTCAAATTTTAGATAAATAATATGTCATTTATGGCTGAGAATGATGAAGGTAAGTAATCACACAGGAGGTATATGACCGCATTTTAAATGACAAAATGTTAATTTTAAAAATTGATATTTTAGTCCTTGGGGCATCAATACACAAATTAGATTGGTAGCTGAAATTCTTCTATAAATGTGGATTGGTTAAAAAAAAATGTATTCCGTACTACCTGAGGTAAACATGTAAATGCAAAAAGGCCATTTCAAATCAGCCCTTGGTGCATAGTGGGGAACATGGAAGCAAAGGCAAGGTGTAGCCCCTTTGAGAAAATCTTCAGAATGAAAATAAAATGCAGTATAGGTCATAACTGAGGACTATGTGGTATGGGCCCTGGGAAAGACTCCCCCAGAAAAAAAGATTTTTCAACTCCTAGATACATTCATATTTCAAAATATATTTCCCCTTAAAAGGGGACAATAAAGTTACCTCAAGGAATTTTCTCAAAAACTAATTTCAGAAAGCAAGTTCCTCTTGGGAATCCTACAATTTTTCATCATTTTAATAGATTCCTCATACCTTCGCCCCCATAGTACAGTCTGTAATTTTGTTGTTATAGTTTCAAGTAGGAACTGTATTTCCAACATGTCAAATCTAAGTACTCACAAATGTGCTAGAAATGACAGCAATACCTTGAAGTACTCCACCAGACCTCGGCAGGTGATTTTGTTCCCATTGATCTCTTTAATATCTAGGCTCTCAGGACTAAGTAGCCAAGGAATGAGTATTTTCAAGTTTTTGATGAATTCATCATCTATTTCTACAAGTAAAAGCAAATTCATCATTATTTTAAAAATCCTATCTAGTCCTCCATGCCATACAATAATACATCCTTTGATTTCCTCTGTTTTTTCCCCAGTGATAAAGCTGTCACTTTCCTACCATCTAAACAACTCCCGAAGCCCACATTTCTTAGGGTGAATGATCTTCTTTGCCCAAATTTTCTACTGCTGGTCTCTCTTATCTCCATTTCAATTACACATTATCTCATCTTCCACCTATAAAAGAGCTTTCTTGATATGAAATGTTATACAAATATTTTACACCCTACTCACATAAACATTTCAAGTATTCTGTCTTTAAGTCTTATTTGTGGTTTTATATATACACTCATAAATGGGGGAAAAGTCAGATATTTACCAGGTGAGATGTATTCCCTCCAGAAAATGTATCCAAAATTTTTCTGTGTTTAGTATTCACCTTATGAAAAGTGTATAGACCTAGGTATGGTGTAACTAGCAACTCAAGTTCAAAGAGGTAGCAATGATGATGCTACCTCTAGTGGTGAAACATAGCAACACGGAATACCTTGGCAAGAAAATACAGAGGCCTAACAAAGTAGTAAGCCGATCAGAGGTAGTTGGAGTTATCACCTATCATGTTTGGCACAGTGATTACACATAGCCCATGTTATGGCATTAGGTTAACCTTAACCTCACAGATTTAGCGAAGTAACAAAGAAAACATCTTCAAAGAAGCCTTTTGAACACAGTGATAATTTCTTAAATCATTATTTCAAAACCTATAGAAAAATACACATAATAAATGTAAAAGGCAAGATATGTCTAGAGACTTGATATCTAAGTAAATGTATTAACTGCATATAGTTTTTTAAAATCTGAATCTCAGCAGTTACTGAGTTTTCAAGCTTTGAGTTTGCTGATTTCCAAGGTCTTAGTGGGCAAAGATGAAAACCTTGTGATTGTGTTTGCATTTTTCCTGCTTGGTTTTATAGCCTCGATGTACGTTAAAATACCAGTTTACCTAAGAATTTCTCTTCTCTCACTACTTTATGCCATGCATGAGCATGACATAGGAAACCCTTCAGACTTCTGTTTCACATTTTTAATAGCTTTGAGATTTTAGTGCCCATGTTTCATGACTGTTTGTATAGGAGTTTACTCAAATTTATTTTGCTGTTTGCATTGTACCAAATTTTACTTACAATTTTGCTTTGCATTATATATAGATTTATTCAAGTGTATTTATTATTGTGGTTTGCTATTTAGTTACCAGAATTCACTGATATTCAATACTGGTATTTGCATTAAGTTACCACATTTCTGTGTTGTGTTTTGTTGCCTGCTATGTATCTGCATTCACTGATAGTAGTAGGTTTCTTTTTTGCTATATGATTTTATGTTTTCAGCATCTGTAGAATATTACCATTTATCTAGAATGTATGAATTTTTCTTAATTTCTGTATAAAACAAAAGGCTTTCTCCCTATAAAACCACTTTTAAATCACTTTCAAAACATACTTAAATACCCCCTGCTCCACATTTCCTTATGAAATTGGAATGCAATAAGATACACCTGTGTATTATCTAATATGCCAGCAAGTGTGGTAATTATTGTTAAGGTAATCAGCATATTTGGATTAAAAATATGTCTGAAGATGGCATTAGTCACAGTCTTTGTTCTTACTGAGACCAATGCCAGACATTTCAATTTGGGATTCAGAAAATATGAACAATATATTCATAATATACACAAGTGGTGAGATTTTGCTAACTACATTAGTTGAACACAGTAAATGCATGACCCAGAACATCTGCAGACCAGTTAAGATCAAACTGAAGAAGCATACCAATCAAATTTGGCCCACTGCAAACATTCAATAAATATGTGTGGGTAGATGATTATGCAGGATGATGTTCTGTTTTCATCATTTCTTCAATAATTTTTTTTGCCACAGGAGTAAAACCTTGCTAGGAATTCAGGGACTAGGCCAAAATGGTTATCTGTCACAGTAACTAAGGATATGAAACATGCTTTATAAGAACTCTGCAGGGCAGGTGTAGTGCTGCCAGGTAAAGTAACCAGGGAAGATATTGTCTTGGGATCACCTGACTCTGACAAGTCATTAGAAACACCTTTTTACAATAATCCCCTTGCAGTGGTGTTGGCTATGCTTTCTGAAGTCGACTGGAGCTGCTAAAGAGGAGCTCCACCACTTCCGGTGTGTTTCCCTGGCCATTCTAGTTGGGGCACTGTAACGGAGAGCAAATTCAAAAAGAGGTAATTCTTTGTTTATTAAAAGGTTGGACTTGTTATGCTAGTGGAAGTATTCAGTAGACTTTTGTAAGAACTGGTTGAATGTAGTAGCATGAGTGACTGTGATTCAGTGCTTCTGGTTCTTTTGATTTCCTGTGTGGGAAACCATTAAATCAATAGTGATGAAATTTAATTATAGTATTATATGTTTTTAAAAAGATTTCATTTACTTATTTTTAGAGAGGGGGGAGGAAGAAAGACAGGGAAACATTGATATGCGAGAGAAACATCAGTGGAATTGAACCAACAACCTGTTGATTTGCAGGCCCAGCCCACAGAGTTCCACCAGCCAGGGTCATAGTATTATGTTTTAAATACCACTGGAAATAATTTTAACAATGTGAAGGACCATGAACAAACAGTAATTACAACAATTATTACTATCAATAATGAAACTGAAAAGTTATTTCTATAACTCGTGAGTTGTGTGTGAGAACCTGTTATAGAACATTTTTGCCCAATCTTTTACTCAGAGGCACTTCTTCTCCAGAGGCAACAGTCAGATGCCAGCCTTCAGGAGAACAGTGTGGCCAGCAGACTAGATGTCCTGGATAGAAGGCACACCGAATTATAACAGTCAGGATGGGATGGAGAAACAATGTAGACAACAGACTATCAAAAATGCCAAGAAGAAAGTGAGGTAAAATAGGACATTTTGGCACACAGGGATTATGCAGCAGTCCTATAAACCTCATCAAAATGGAAGTTTTGGCGGGAAACTAAAGCTATCTTTCATTGCTCTTTCAGGCTAGCTACTTTGGCAAACCCATAACTTATGGGTAACTGTAAACCAATTGTGTGGGTCAGTACCTGTTAGACATGAATAAAGTTTGATGGAGAACAGATCTGTTAAAAACTGAGATTCTATATTTGCATGATTTGCCTTAAATGGTCTCCTCAGCTCTTTCATTGCAAAATGTATCGGTTAATGTAAGAGCTGTAGATGTATACTACAGGAATGGAACAAGAGTACTTTTCTGTCCAATAAAGGACTCTTGTTGAAGGCCTACCCCTCCTCTTGCCTATTTATGGTTTCTCAGCTCCAGAGAAGAAAGGGAGGCCTTGTGGGAGGCTTCTTTTTATGTAATTTATTCAAAGCACATGGAAGCCATTAGGTAATTGCATAGTATCAAGAAGCCTGTGTGCTCACTCATGGATTGGAGTTTGTAAGTGACAGTGAAATGCTATGATCCTGGAATCCATGCATTAATAGCCTACTGCTGTTTTTCTGTTTTATAAAGGTAAGACAGTTTAAAATGTATAAAAGCAATGCTGATAATTGAAAAGTTTGGGATTCTATTTCTAATACTAACTTCCATAGTTAAAAGCATAATATAAGGTATCTGAAAGTAAACACTGGATTGTTGCTTTTCAAACGTTCCATGAAACTGGACATAAGTTATGTTGTCCTTTTTTCTTAAAAAAAGTAACTGTAAGCCCTTTGAGAACAATTGTGCTGAGAAATTTATGCCACTGTCTCACCACCCCGGCACAATGCAGAATGGCCACAGTATATGAAGCAAATGTCTGAACTCAGTGGTGTACTCAATGCAAGGCTTATAAGTAAACAAGTCAGACATGTCTTTGTACTACCTTGTATTAACTACAAAGCAAATATCTAAGGTGCTGGTGATTATCTGTTAGGGAAGATGAACTTCTGTTTCCCCATACCTCTACCTCCACCCCACACTTTTTTTTAAATGAGTTGGTTTGAAATCTTAAAATGTCAGACATGCCTCTGTTGAAGAGAATTACATACTATTATCACATGTTGGGTTGGCCAAAAAGTCACTATGGTTTTTTCTGTAAAAATAAGAGACACATATTTTTTTATTTTCACCAATAACTTTATTGATTTGGATATTTTAAATATGTTGGCTATCTCTCACGTGGTATAGTGTTGATTGTTCTCAATTAATGTCTCAGTTTGGTAGCTATCACCCTCAGCTGATCTACCAGATCATGGAGCATTGTCCAGTGAGAAAACGCAAGCATGAAGCTTCACAAACCACTTTAGACACGTTCCATCAGTCCCAGCACCTTTCTCCATACACTGCACAAATCTTTTCTTATGTTTTAGTTGTGTTTTTACCTTCCTTTTTTTTTTTTGGTCATAAAATCTTTTTAGTTTATTTTAAAATAGCAGTTACTTCTGTTGAGTTTATTATCCAACTATTTCCAGGTTTAGTTGTCATTAGTATTCACAAACTAATTCATTTGGCACTTCAGAAGCTCCAGTATTATGTAAGATTGTTAAACTATGTCATTTTGAAAGCACTCGGTTAGGCCCTTTTTCCTCTTTGGCATCTTCCCCCAGCATGTGGCACACATACAGAACATACACATGTCATTCTTAGGAACTTAACCAAATACCATGTAGTTTTCAAATATTAACTTCATGAAATAATAAAGCATAATATGCTGAAAATATTGCTTATTTTCTTCCACCTTCAATATTAAAATGGCTACACAAAAATTCACCAATTTTGATGTTTTTCTTAAATGCATGCTGATATGACAGCTGCCACAAAACAATCTTAACCAAATTGTTTTGAATAAAGATAAAGACAACCAAGTGCTACTAGCGCCATCTCACGGAAAAAACCAAATGAACATTTTGGCCAACCCAAAACTATTTGAAAAACAGTGCAGTGCTTTTGGTTTTTAAAAAATTGGTCCTCATCCAGTAGAGGATTTCACTTTCACTGAAGCTTTTCATAATTTGAAATTAAATTCTTTATTAGCTATTTTAAAGAGCTTGAATTTAGTACTATGTAATATTTCAATCTCTAATTATGTAATTTAATGCAACATCCCAATAATATAGACATCTATTTTTCCCCTTTAATGTAAATAAGAAAAATTAAACAAGAAGAAATTAAGGGGAATTTCTCAATGCACGGGGGTGAGTGGGAACCTCGGTAAAAGGATGACAATTACTGCCTCCGCAGTGGACACAGGACTCAGCCTGTTTTCTGTGTGCAGACTCAGCACCCACTGAATCCCACAGTTCACCAAGGAGACGCTCTAGCACCTGCCTAGGAATCCCAATTCTCCTGACAATTTCTAATCATCAGCCTTACAGGAGTGAATGAACTAATAAACAAGCAGTTGTTTGCCCAGACATTTTTATAATCAGACTAAGTAATGTAAATATATTCATTAAAAGACAGACAAACCTTTCAGTTTTCCATCAAAATTTGGATTGGTAGCTACTTTTAAGCCAGGATGAGGTAGCAGAAAACAGGAAATTTTGGTGAAACAGGAGTGGATGTGTTTTCGAACATTCTGTAGTTCCTCGTGCTGGTTCCCTGAGACCTGCAGTGGTAATCAAACTGAAGTTTAAGCTGCTGCCAATATAAACTGAATCCCAGAGAATTCTGTGGCATCTTATATTTTCTATCTAGTCCCACAATTATAAAAATGACATGACAGGGCTGATAACTAAATAAAGAATAAAATCTTGGGTTAATTTGTCATACTTACAGCACAAATATGATATCACAATTAGCAAATGTACATTTTTTTTTAAAGATTTTATTTATTTATCTTTAGAGGGGAAGGGAAGGAGAGAGGGAGAGAAACATCAATGTATGGTTGCCTTTCATGCATCCCCTGCTGGGAACTGGCCTGCAGGGAACCGGCCTGCAACCTGGGTATGTGCCCTGACTGGGAATTGAACCGCGATTATCTGGTTCGCAGGCCCGCGCTCAATCCACTGAGCTACACCAGCCAGGGTGCAAATGTACATTTTTGTGTTAACTCAGATGGGCATTCTCATTTTGTAGTACAAATTAGTGGGGCTTTACTCTAGCTAGTTCCTACAAATTCCAATTTTAATTCAAAGTACTCATAGAAAACATGAACAGATCATGACATTTTCCTCCCTTCTTTTCAGGAGATATTCAAGACAGCTTCTTGTCACCTGGTAGGTATACATTTAAATTCTAGAAAGGTATCTGAATAGTTGGGAATTGTATCTTTTTTCACATGTATTTGACAGTTAATAGTACAAATTACCCTAAAAGTAATTATAAACCTAAAAAACTAAGCCCAGAGATCCTGATTATAAAGGAACTTTTTAAAATCTCAAAAATTTTTTTGGGGGGCGGGTTTCTCGGTAGATATTTTTTGTGACATCTGTTCAATGTAAATCATTTGATATTAAACCATCATGACATAGAAAATGAAAAGTCTTCTAATTTTACTTTGTGTGAACTACTAGCAAAATGTTCAAAGACTGGGATTGCAAAAATTAGATATTTCTTTTAAATTGACTTTTAAACCTCTACTAAAACATGAATCCAGATATTTGCACTGTTGGTTTTGCACTAATTCAATTCTTCAAATTAAAAGTTTTGTTTTTAGGAATAAATTATTGTTTTATAGATAATCTATTGTACAAAGAACTGTATCTGTATCATAATTGTTGAAAATATTTAAAAATTATAATTCTGAAAGTATTAACTCTGTCTTAGCATGTTCATAAAGAGACTATGAGGTCAAATGATGTTGTGGCTACTGAATATCTATTCAAGAAATCATTGGACAGAAATAAGTCTATAGATTACTACCGGCAAAATTTCATGCACCTAAATATCTAACAAACCTTGAGGCGTTTTTCCAAGAATTTGGAGCCACCATCAGATCCATATGAAAACTCGTATGGGAAACTCCAGTCTCGAACAAGAAATATCAGGCTCTAAGAAATAATTAGAAGAAAGGATTAATAAGGGCACTCTAAGTTGCCTCCTTCTGCTTTTTAATCAAAACCAATTAAATTATATTGTCACTAATATAGTAGTATTTACCACATTATGGAATTAAGAGCAAATATAAAATCTTTGAAAGTTTGTGAGCAGTCCTTCCTCTATTAGATCATCTTATTTCCACTAAGTGTAAACCAAAAGCTGCTAGAAAACTGATGATAGTTACAGAGTGCTAGTCAGCCAATTTGAGGGCATCTTGGTCTCTCATTTTTTGGTGGAGTGCATTCCACTTGACAGTTTTAATAGCTTTTTATGAAGATTCAAATTTTATTTGAGGAAAGCTTTCTTCCGTTCTCTCTCTAGATATTTTTCCTCTATTACATGTGTCCCATCCTCTTCTACAGGGGCTCTCTTTATGCATTAATGGTATAAAGAGGGGTGGGAATCCAGGTATTGTGGGACCTGAAGCTCATAGAATCTGTGGGGAGTGGGCTCAATAAGAAAAAGAATACAAAATTAGGCTTGAAAGTGGGTATTTATTTAGAATGACAAAAATAAATAATTCAAAGAAGCTGACAAATCTCTCTCTACACCCCCTACTTTGCACACACTCCAGAAGAATAACTAACATATCATTGTAACACATTTTTCCCTGCAGTTATTGGCTGCAAATGATTTGATCACTTCATATGATGATTTTGAAATATTTTCTATTAGAAAGCTAATTCAGTCTTTCTTCTTCTAACAAGGCCAAATTTTTTATTATAAAACATTTTTATTAATAGTTTAGAAATGTTTCAGCTTCACAACTTTTATTTGTAATGTTATGGACACTTTTCATTTCCCATCTCTCAAGGAGGGATAATAATAGAACCCACCTCACAGGCCTACTAGATGACATAACACACAAGGCATTTAGAACAGTGCCTGGTACATAGTTAGTGCTCTGTTAGCTGTCTGATTTGCATTTTAATGGCCAAAGAGTATTTTAGCACATGGATAAACCATAGTTTATTTTGCCATTCTCCAAGGTGGCTTTCAGTTTTTCCACTACTCTAAGAATTAATAATCATTCTCAAATTTAAATATTCATTCACATTCCGAAGGAATTTATCAAGGACTGTTTCCCAAGTTAGAAAAATCATCTGGGAGGTTTTTAAAACTACAAAATTCTTGGGCTTCACCCCAGACCTATTGAAACCAAAGTAGTACTAGCCTGTGTATATTGAGTGCCTATTATATGTCAACCACATTAGAAGGAATTATACACATGATAGTTCATGTATTCCTAAGAAATGGGCTATAATTTATTATTCTTTTCAGAAGAAGTACATAAAAATCACCTCCACCCTCACCTGTCATTAAGTAACTTTCTCAAAGTCACACATCTAGAGATGGAAGAGCCAGCATTTAAACTTGTTTTACTTCAAAATCCCTGCTGCACTGCCCCTCAAAGTTAAGTATGAAACATGTAGTTTACTATTTGAGGGCTGATTACAGTATGCTTTTATAAATTAGATTAAAAGATACTTTAACTTTTAGTTTCTGAAAAAAAGTAGGAAATTGAGGAAAAATTATATTTTGTAAAAGTAACTATCTTTAAATGTTCTTTCTAAAAGTTTATATATTCTGACTTTGTAACTGAATCTTTTAGTCTTGTCTATTAAAATTATGTCTTTTAACTCTCTTTTAATCTTCAAGTTCCTCTTCCATCCCTTATTTTCCCTTACCGTTGACCTGTTGAAGAATCTAGGAATTTGACCTCTAGAGTTTCCCATAACTTGGACCTTGTTGATTGCATATTCATGCAGCAGTTCCACATGTTCTTTTGTCCTCTGGATTTCACAAATTGGCAGCTAGATACAGAGGCTTAATCAGACTCAGGTTCTATTTCTTTGGGAAGACTATGGGAAGCACAGTGTCCCTTTATCAGGCAGCACATAGTACGTGATTTTCTCTCCTTTGATGAAGTTATACCATCTTCATGTGAGCTCAGTTTTCAGTAGGTCTCATGAAGAGCTCATTGGAACAGTATTTTTTGCATTCTTACATGTTGATAACATTTTGTGCCATTTATATTTGAAAGTCAGTTTTGCTGAATATAAAATCCTTGGCTCCCATCTTCTTCCTTTAAAAAGGAATGCTTCTTAGTTTGCATTATGGATATTTCTTGTTTCACTAAAGTGGTCCCTTCTCTCTCTTTCTCTCCTTGTTTTGGGGAAGAGATTCTTATGGAGAGAAGAATTTACAAAGACCTATATCCACTATCTTTAAATAGCCAACCATCTTTAAATGTAGATATTTATATATATATAAATATATTTATATTCTATTTCTATAGAATATATATTTATATTCTATTTCTATAGAATATATATTTATATTCTATTTCTATAGAATATATATTTATATTCCATAAATTCTATAAATATTCTATTTATATAGAATATATGTTTATATATAAATATCTACATTTAAAGATGTTGGCTATTTAAAGGTAGTGGATATAGGTATTTGTAAATATAAAAATATCTATATTTAAATATTTATAAATATATATTTAATTTCCATCAAAATTTTTATCAAAATAAAATATAACAACTTGTATTCAGAACACTTATATCTAAAACATGTGTTTTGACAACAGAGGTTAGCTAGGAAGCAATTTTGCAAAACAGAAATTCATGAACCAGGATAAATCAAACCAAGTATGTGGGTTTGGCTATATTTTGCATTTTTCTTGGAAAATTTTTAGTCTCATTTCTTGGTTTTTTTCACTGGACACCTTCCAAAGTCTACATAATGGGAACCATGTGTAGAATAGCATCACATATAAAGTCTTATTTTTTCAAACCAACAACCTATATTCTATTTTTCTATCTGTAATGTCAAATTCCCACGTTCCTAATCCAACGTGCTGGTCAGCTGGCTCTCCAACAACAAAACGCCTTGATTTGTAGCATTTGACACTTTCTGTGATGTAAGTATACACACCATGGCTGACTTTAAGCTATTAACTGTTTAATAATTGGCTTATCTAAGTCCTGAATATTTTACTAATTAGTTCTTATGAACTGGTATAAGCCAGCTAATAAGCACACTAATTGGATCCATGCCCTGCCATGATCATTTGTATGATTCACATTTATCATGTGTGGAATTCAATGACTCTTGGTCCTTATTTCAAAAGCCATCAATTTTCTACACTGCTGAATCATGATTTGTTCATACATATAGGTAGAGATAAAAATCACGGTTATAAATTATTTTAATTTTCTCAAATAAAAACATTTGAAGCCATAAATACATTTTTTAAATAAATTTTTTTCTTAAGATTTTATTTATATATATTTTTAGAGAGGAGAAAGGAAGGAGAAATAGAGGGAGAGAAACATCAATGTATGTTTTCCTTTCACATATGCCCCATTGGGGACTTGGCCCGCAACCCAGGCATGTGCCCTGACTGGGAATTGAACCAGCGATCCTTTGGTTCGCAGCCTGTGCTTAGTCCACTGAGCTACACCAGCCAGGCTATAAATACATTTTTTTAATGAATTAAATCCAGTTAGGTAACTGGGGCAAAAGATGGACCTATGCTGTATCCTATAAATGGTCATATATACTTTTTAAATCCTGAAAAAACATTGTCACCTTTGTTAACTTTCCTTTGGAGATTATATTCTTTAGGAAATTATTCAAAATGAGTGTCACAGCACTACTATGAGTAATAGTGAAAAATATCCAAATGCTTAACAATTGGGAAGTGGCTATACCAATTATGGCATATTGATATGCCATTATATAGCTATTAATATTACAAGTATGTGAAATATATCAATATATGCTTTATGTTGGTTATAGGGGTGACATGGGTTCACAATAGAAAAAACTGAATATTCTGGAGTGAGGAAGAGGATAGAAGTGGTTGGTGCTAAGAAACCTTACTAAATTAATCAAACTTTTATTTAGTTATTTTGGTTTGGAGTTTTTCCTGCATGCTTTTTCTAATTTAAATATGAATTATTTTGCTGCTATTTTAAATGTTCTGAGATTTAAAATTTTTGCATTTTACCTTTTAATTATATAATGTTCAGTATTCCTTTGGTTTGAATTTCGTTGCTTTAATTTATTTATAAATAGCTTTGGAAACCACTCTTGCCACTACTTAATGAGTTTCTCAATTCAATTTTAGACACTTAGATTTATAAGTCCAAAACTGTTTAGGAGTTAGTTCACTCCAATTTAGTGAAAACTTTTTCTTTTCACAGACATTCATAATGCCAATAGTTTACTAACAAGTGGTGATCTCTTAAAGTTTTTTCTATTATTTGTTTATAGTTCATATTTTTAACCTAAAACAGTCACTCACTCTATCACCTGATCTACCTGAGCATTGGTTGGTCTCATTTCTTTTATTTTTTAATATATTTTATTGATTATGCTATTACAGTTGTCCCATTTTTTTCTCCCCTTTACTCCCCTCCACCCTGTACTCCTCCTCTCACCAGCATTCCCCCTCCTTAGTTCATGTCCATGGGTCATACATATAAGTTCTTTGGTTTCTCCATTTCCCATACCATTCTTAACCTTCCCCTATTTTGTACCTAGCATTTATGCTTCTTATTCTCTGTACCTTTTCTCCGATTCTCCTCCTTCCCCCTTTGCTGATAACCCTCCATGTGATCTGCATTTCTGTGAATCTGTTCCTGCTCTAGTTGTTTGCTTAGTTCATTTTGGTTTTTGGAGGGTTGGGGTTGTTGATAGCTCTAAGTTTGTTGTCATTTTACAGTTTGTATTTTTTATCTTTTTCTTAGATAAAGAAATCCCTTGAACTTTTCATGCAATAAAGGTTTAGTGATGATGAACTCCTTTAACTTGACCATATCTGGGAAGCATTTTATCTGCCCTTCCATTCTAAATGAAAGCTTTGCTGGATAGAGTAATCTTGGATGTAGGTCCTTACCTTTCATGCCTTGGAATACTTCTTGCTAGC